AGATAATAAAATGTATAGGATGATAAGATACATCAACGAATAAGGAACAAGATACACCCATGCTGGATGTGTTACTGTGAAAGGCTTTTGTTCAGAGTAAACTAAAGCACCTGTTGTGAAATAAAAGTAGATTTGCTTCCCCCGTTTGATGTCCTTTTCAGAGCGGGAAGAGAAATGCTTAAAATGCATCGGAGCCCTCTGATAATTAACGCTGTGTATCCGTGCAAAATCGTTTCTGCCTTTTGTAGCGAATGTCTAATGATTCCGTTTTTGAAACATTTATTTACCCCTGAGGAATATTAACACGTTTCACGACCAAAACGTTTATTGTATTTACCTGAACAGAGGCAGACACGCTTTCCTTGAATAGAACACAGTCCAACTTCGGCAAAGGTGCCTGATCCATATCAATATCATGTATTGTTGATAACAATCACATTAGCAATTTTGGTGCATTTTGATGTCATCGATGCATTTTTTTTTTCTATTACAGGTTGTGTGATGGTGACAGACAGACTGATTCCTATACTTCCGCCTGGCTGTGTTGTGTTGCGTTGGCAAGGCTTTCCATTGTGCACACAGTGAATAATGCGTGTTGCACACACAAAGTTGACATTCATATCGCCCCCGTGCACCTGTGCAGAGAGGCTGCACCTTCTTACAGTCAACAGTCACGCTGAAGGCACACAGAAGACATCATTGCTGCAAAGGACTTCATGTTTAGACACAGACGGGGGTGATGAGAGAGTCAAATGGTTGCTAATAAAAGTAACCGTGTTGCACAGATAGCTGTAAAGTAACTCAAACTATATTTAAGACACAGAGTGCTGAGCGTCGCCAGCTGATTCGTCGACTCGATATCATAGACAGTGATTAGCATATAACGTTAGCCGGCGTAGCTCAAATATAGCGAAATACTTGTGTGCGACGGACGAAAGACTCTCAAATGGATTAAGAGTCTGTCAAAAGGTAACGTTAGTTAAGCGTTAAAATATGGATGATGTTTTAAAAATTGTTAAATAGCAGGAACATGTAACGTGGGATTCCACCCTCCGTTACCGTACTTTCCTCCCAACAAGTTTGGACAGTTTAAGAAACCCGCAGCAGCGCGACAGGTGCACAACAAACATGTGTAAGGAACCGCAACAGGAGGCGAAAGGGGACCAGATTCAACTCACAAGCTCATTTCATTGGTGTGTAATCGAGGTCGTAGAGGCGTTGAAGTTTCCCTCAGCTGTCACAGCGGCTGGTCCGCTCCGTGTTCCATTCGGTCATCTTGCGCCCGAGGCATCATGGGACATGCAGTTCTTCTACTAAACACGGTTTTTTTTCAACCACGAGTTGAATAATTTACGATAGCCTACGTGTTTGTTGTTTATAGGGTACTAAACGACAAATACAGTCTGTTTATTCCGCAAAATAGGTGACTAAATGTTCAGGTTTACAGGTGTATATTTATTCACTCTTGTCTTTCCTGTGTAGCTATTTTTTTAATATATGTATATAGTCTTATGACAGAAAATAGATTTGGCTGACTTTTTTTGTTGCATTTGAACCTGTTGTGTTATATAAGAAAGGGATGACGGACTTATAAGGAAATAAAGCATGGCATCTAACAGCTGATGCCTTGCAAAGTATTTTAAGCCAGAGAACTCAAATCACACCCTGTTGATTTTCATAGAGTCCTATCTGACTGATCCTGCACAGAGGGGTTGTGACAAGTGATGCTAGCTGGGGTGCAAATACCTACCCACTATCAGTAGATTGATGGCTGCTCTGCAAATAAATAAACCCGTAACAGAGGTGTTTATGACATGCTTACATCAAGCGGCTCCCCTTGCAACCACCATCACCAGCAACAAGCTGCCCAAGCTTAACATCTGTCTGATTATGTGTGCCCTTAAAAAAACATCTGTGGCTATTTTCAGTTGCCTCCGTTCATTTTTTTTGCTAAACTAAAAAGAACTCTCCATGTGACCGGCCCAAACGCTGAGCTATTTTAACCCTGAGAGTCACCCACTGAGAATGTGCAGACATGCAGCAAGAACAGACATTCACCCTACGGCCCAATGCCAATGACCCGCCCTAAAGCCTCGAACCCTGACCCCTCAGGGACTGTGCAGGAAACGTTCATTAAAGCCTGAGTCCATGAGCGTGGTGATAGGGATTTGGATCGGGCCTTGGATCGGGCCTTTAATTGGAAATGTGATTGTGTGGTTCTCTGTCGACCTCTGGTGGTAAAACGAGTGAACAAAAAGTTAGTTTTCATTAACATGTGGTTCTAAGACCTCGTGCTCCAGTTGATGTTTTTGTGTGGATTTCCAAAACAAATCATTCATTAAAAATATGTGATTCTTTCTTCCCTTTTTTTTCAATGCACATTTATAATCAGGTTAATAGAACTGTCTCATGGGGTAACAAAAAAAAAGGTGCACACCAGACAAAACAAGGTTGCTTCTTTTGGTTGCCAACTAATAAACAAGCTGGAAAGTAGCTCTTGCGTGGAAATCATTCCGCCTGTTGATTCTAAGCTTGACTTTGAAACTAGCAAAGACAAGAAGTCCTTGATGTGCTGCTTCAGTTCCATCAGTGGTGAGCAAACTCCTCTAGAATGTCGGATGAGTTCAAAAGCTCCAGAAAATTGTTTTGTTTCACCAATAAAAAATGAGCTCAGCATGTTTCTAGTTCTGGCAAATCTCTAGCTCTTTGGCTCATTTTAACATCAAGCATGTATTTGTACTCAAAGTAACTCTCCGGAACAGGTGGTCAGCTGCAGCTCTACTGTCCATTGTTCCTAAAACATTCCTCCGTAGTCAGCCAGCGCTACACTATCTGCAGCAAGGGATGATTAATAAATTACCACAGTCTCCATCAATGCGACAAGCTAGTGGTCTGCTAAAGGCCACTTCCTCTCCCAGGGACAATGGGGCCATTTCCTGTTGGGTGAGACGCAGAGGAACAGAGCGAGCGAAACAGGCGAGTATTGTAAAGCAGGGACATCATATCGGCCTGTCCTGCCCTCGGAGTAACAGTCTGTCTGTTCAAGCGTCTAGTGAGATTCATGGTCTCGGAGGTCACGGGAGGAAAGGCCGGAGCCACGGGCAACAGACGCCAGTGCAGGCATTTCTTTTTAACACGCTCACAGGATACACAGAAAACTGTCTGACTTTGTAAATACATCGAAGATCTGACACACGACAGAGCCAGAAAGAGCACATGAGGAAAACCTCCTCTGCATTAGCAGTGAGAGAACATGTTTCTACATTGAAAGACGTTTTCATAAAATAAATGGACATGACCAGCTTAACATTTAATTAGTGCTTAAAACTTAAAACGCCAGGTGTCTTTGGCAGAATGAACTAAGCTCAAAGTCTCACATGTTTCCCACTCTTTTAATTTTCTGGCTGAATGTCAAAATAAAGAAGGCTACTGTGTTCAGAACAATGGCTCCATTCATGTCACTGCTGCCCTATTAAGGGATCACGGAGAAAGTCAAAACAAGTCAAAGACATGCAACATAGGACGAGTATCAGCTGTGAGAGTATGAAGTTATAAAGCTACGGTACAATTCAATGACCCGTCCAATAAACATCAGGCCCCTCAAGCAGCTCAAGATAACCCAACAATGTTGATTGGGCCTGAAGCTATTTTTAAATAGAAGGCTGCTAGTCCACACGTTCACTCTGACGGACATAATGGCCTTAATAACAGCAGTGGCTGAGCGGGCCGTGTCCCTCCTCTGTCCCGGTCTCTTTTCATTTGAGGACGCGCACGAGGTCCGCCACAAAGGCCACAAAGGCGAGAGACAAAGATATGCCCCGTGGCAGCACATGGTATACAGCCTGACCCATGTGCGTGTAGCACCCAGTGTGCGTGTGTCACAAAGACGGGCACCTCTCACTGCGCCACGAGTGTCTTTAGGTGGAGAAGTTTAGTCTAAAATGAATTGAACTGTTATTTTTCATTCACTTTATCACGATTGACTGTGCACTGACATGGTCACAGCGGTGCTAAGAGAGATTCACAGTCAATACCGATCAAATGGACAGGTTGTGCTGATTCTTATCAATTTATTTTTAATTGTGGGACTGACAATTGGACAAAACATTGGCCATTTTTCTTTATAGACCAATAATTATTATATTATAATAATTATCCCGCAAAATGTTCTCGTTCATTTTTGTGTTTCTACTGATTTTTGGTGTTTCTACTGATTTACATTGCATATTTGCCTAAGCAACCTGTAAAATATGAAATGTCTCAAATCTAACCGGTAAAAATGCAAAAAAAAACAGTCAGCTCTATCTATCTTCTGTTCATGTCATGAGAATTTCCTATCAATGTCTCCTTTTCTCTTCCTCCCCACAAACACCTGCAATAAAACTATTGTCAGAAACACGATGCAGTTCAGAACAATCTATTTATCTATGTATTTTGTGTTCGCGTGAGCAGCTCCTCTGACGAGCACCGATTCCCAGCCGCGGTGACTCACCGCGTCGCCTGGTTTCGTGTGGTAATCAAGGTGTGGTCAGTTTCTCCTACAGGTGCGCGAATCGGCTGCTAGCGCGCAGGCGTCGTTGTGGTCTCTACCAAATTGATAATAATTCGAAGGGAAACATAAAAACTCGCGCTAGTTCTAAGTCAAAGGCTTAAAACTGAACTTGGTATTTTGGTCTTACGGACCTTTTTGCAATCCACATTGCTTCCACCAATGAACCTATAAATGTATTTAAAAAAAAACACATTTAAGACTTTTAACATGTTTTAATTACTACAATATTACTCCCACATTAATCAATGTTTCAAACGGCAATTCCCGGGGGACTAAACTTCATTTCGCAGTTTGTTTGATGGACAATGGGAGCCGCGGTGACGCGTGCAGCAGTGTGCTGAGCTGTGCAGGGCGGGGTCGAGGGGGAGGGGATGGGAGGGGCGGGGAGGGGGGCATTTAGAGGGCGGGGTCAGACAGGAGGGCGGAGTCTGTGCTGAGCTGACGCTTCTTTTGCTCATTTTTTGTTCGGTGGACTGTCGACCAGGAGCAGCAGGAGCAGCAGCAACGGAGAAAGTGGAGAGAGAGGAGTAAGGACAAAAAGAATCCCGGAGAAACCCCCGCTGATCTGGATTAATCTAGAACGCGTCCGCGTGTCTCGACAGGTACGACTTTGATGGATACAACGTTGTGTTCGCGTTCTCCAACTGCTCCGCGTCTTTGTCACCGACGCGTATTGTCTTCCTCGTTCTTTTTAAAACATTTTCTTTTACGCACAGTAGCCTGTAGTAGCTTCCCTCTATGATCTCGCGTATGTTCTCGTAGTCAATGGTTGGTCCCATCTTTCCTCTCTTCTTACCCAGGTGTGAATCCAGGCTTGTGTTTGGAGTTTCATTTCCGCATGCCACACACTGCCTCCCTCTTTCTTTTTTTCCCCTTGTTGAGTAAAACGCGAGCTCTTCGTCCCCAAAAGTTTCCCTTCACGTTAAGTACATTTCCAACGTGGCACAGCGCTCCTACTGACTTCGTTATGTCGATGCCTTTGGCCCCAGTATCGATTAATCGGCTTGACGTCACTTATCAATAGTGTCATTGGTGCTGAGCGTGTACGCGCACGCTGACGGTCGCGCTGGTGTGCATGCGAGGCAGGTAAAGAGAACCAGGCTTTCCCCGAACATGTTTTCCTAGAGGAAAGCCGATGTCTCGCGTAGCATTTTTACGGACGATTGGGGTCCAACACGGTGGCGAGACGACAACAACAACAAAGTATTCCTCCCTCCGGCTAACTCCTAAATATGAAGTCGACTAGAGATGAGGACAATCATCCACTGCAGATCAGCAGAATGTACTTCAGTCAAGTTCACCACCAGATTCCCTGACAAAGCTAAGTGTTAGTTGGTCCTGTAAATGACACAATGAGCAGATTGGGAACTGGTGACTAACTCGCCTGTCTCACCCATCGCTAATGTGTTTCATTGAATAATGAATCATCTTCTAAAAGGTGTTGCGCTGCCCATCTTTTCTCACGCCCCCGTTCGTTCCAGCGGGGACGTCTCCCAGGTGTTGCCTAATCTTGAGGTCGTGACCTTTTGTTTGAGCTCGAGACTCAACAGGCCCGCAGGTTTTCAAGACCTGCTTTTCGGCCGCGAGGAGCACACGGCGCTTCAATTGCAATCCCACTGAAGCGAGCAGGCGAATCTCCTGAAATTTAAAAAATAACTCCTCGCATCCTGCTTGTTTCCTGGGCCCTTCAGTCGTTTGCGACGTCTGCGGCCGCACGTTGTGTAATCTCTCGACTGAGAAATTCAACAGATTCCCCATTGTTGTCATCTTGTTTTGAAGTATCAGCACAGAACCGTGCCAAAGACCCTTTCGCCTCCCACCTGTTCCTAGAACAGCGCGTCCAGCTGAGGCCGTGGGTCCGTTTGGACGGCACAAACTCGCCCCGCATCCGTGTCATCCTGCAGTGCAGCGGCAGACAGCACCCTGGTTGGAAAGCTCTTCCTGTCTGCCCCCAGGGAAGAGGGTGTATCGGTGGGGGGGGGCGGCGACTTACTGTAGATGTAGCTGCTACAGCTGTGGTGGCACATGCTAATCCCCCCCCCCCCCCTCCGCCCTCCTGCTTAATTCCCTGTTACTGTCCTACATTATCAGAGCAAGAGGCCAGAATATCCTTCAGTTTCTGAAAAGGTTTACACTTGGCAAAAGGAATTACCGTACACGTCCTATATCCTAGCCTTTGTTTCTAGATGTATTTTTCTATGGGGTGCCGTAGTCTCCTCGTCTGTCTGCTCACTGGTGCCTGGCCCAGTACAGTTGTCGTGTGACACCCCCCCACCCCCCTGCGTGTTTCCACAGCACCCCTGCCTCTGTGTTTTACTGTTACCATGGAGAAGGGGACGCGGAGGGATAACGACTTCCTTCATTTAAGAAAGGAGTCTTTGTAGTGTGACTGCATCGGAATTTAAAGAAAAGAGGAAAATCTTCATCGGGCGACGCTGTCGTTGAGCCCCGTGGACACCGAGCGCTTCACTGTGCGCTGTACGAGGCGTCCCCTTTTTAAACCGTGCACTAGATTTCCCAAAAATGAGGTTCAATCAAGGCGAAGAATCTCTCTTGGTTTAGGATTCGCACGGTAATTAAGTCATTTACAGGACCGCCGCACGAAAACGGGAAATGTTTAAATGCAAGACTGGCACTGCCCAGGGGAACGTGCCCAAAATAATAATTGACCATCTCTTGGATAAAACGAGGACAAGAAAATGTCCCTTACTTAAAATGTCAACGGCTAAATGGCTGTCCCCTCCCCTGGCCTCCCATCACTTACACGTAGGAGCTATTTAAATGTCTGCCAAGTTATAAGTCAACGCCTGTCCGAGACACCCATGCATCAGTCCAACGCACGCTGGCAGCCGTCGAACCCTGCTGGGTTCCTTATGCGTTACTCTTGATCATTACTGACTGCGTATCCAAGCCTCAAGGGAGGGAGCCGGACTGCAGCACTGACTCAAAAGACAAAGCTTTTCACAGTTGGATGAGTTGTTGCCTCTCAGCATCGTGACCTCCGCACCGGCCCTTGATCACACTGCTGCGAGAGATTGAGGAAGGCGATGACGGCGAGGGTGTGGTTCAAACCAAGAGTCGTCAAATATGCAGCATGAAGAACGTGCGTGTCTCATGTGAAAGTTATTCATTGTTGTGCATGTTGTCACTCGCTGTTTTTCTTTTTGAGGAATCTCTCTTGGGTTGAGAAAGTTGTGCAACCCTTGGGCCTGCGCATACTTTACAAGAGACTGGGTGAACTGAGAAATGCGAGGGGGGGCCGGCGGTTAGACGATCAGGGCTGTTCCTCTCCTTTTTAATGTCTTAAGTGTTAACATTTTGAAGATGAATAAATGCCACTACATTTTTAAAATGTGTTTTATTTTTCACCCTTAAAATATTCATATTAAAGGTTTTTTTTGTTGTTTTAAAGAAGAACAAACTGCACTTCAACTCCATGTTATATTCTTTTTCGGCCCCCTTAGACTTTTGCCCTCCCCTCCAACCAACCTCTCCCTCGTGCCTCTAATCTCCCTGAAAAATTAATCATCTGTCACATCGCCTCAGCGCTCAGCCGCACACCGATGCGTGGCTGTGGCAGTCCAGGGGAGAAGAGGAAATCGCTCCTCGTCAGGCCTTTGGAGCGGCGTTTCTGATGCAGCCACCGTTGGCCAGTGAACACACAGAGCCATCGTGATGTGCTTCAGCCTTTTTGATCCCATCGAGGGGGGGGCTCGAAACCCGGTTTCCTTTTCACGGTGACAGCAAGTCGGTGGGACAATGCGGCTAATCTTGTCCTCTTCTATCCCAAACGCAGTAAAACAAGAGGCTCTCTGTGCCGTATCAAAGACCGAGGTTCATCCTCTTCCTTCCTACCAGCCAACTACCCGTAGAGGAGCACATCCTGCTTACTGTAGACCACATCGGGGCATGACTTCATATCCAGCCATAGAATCTAAGATGATGGAGTATTTCTCGTTTTGTCAAGGAAGGAATGGTTAACTTTGTGGGCCTTTCAAATAAGTTCATTGTAGCACAGGTTTGCGCCCCCCCCCCCCCCACAAATTTAATTTTCTATTCTTTTTGCCTTCCTCCTCTATCAGCTTTATGTAATCGGACCCCGCTCTGCACAGAGGCACCTCCTCCAAGACGGCTCGCCTTTCCTTTTTCAGTTGCCGTGGGATCCCACAGGGAGTAAACAACGGTTTGCAGCCACCATGCTGCATCCTGCATCGGCCAGCAGATCCAAAGCCGTCCATTCTGCGCCCCTCTTTATTCATTGGCGTGCTGATTGTGGTCGACTGTGCCGTTGGGAATGTTTCCAGTCCGGACAACGAAGGCGGGGGGGGAGGGGAGTGCGTGCTGTGCTCTGCCACTTCCAGTCGGTTCGTGTGTTGCTCACCAGCACTTATCTTATTGTCTGCTCCTTCTCCTTGGGCTTTTGGCATGCTGGCGTTGCTGTGGTCTGGATTTTATCATCCGCCTGTTCCAGTCAATCGACAAAATGTGAACACGAAGCTGTGTTCTCCCTGAACTTTGCTCGGCGTAAATAACAGCCCGCAGCAGTGTGTCACCATAGTTTTGCATCTCCAGTACAAGGAAACGGTTTGGGGAAAGTACTTAAACTTCCCCTCTCTGACCAGACAGCGCAGCAGTCAGATAATGTTGACCGCCGCTTTCTGTCACCCACCACAATGCATCAATTAGCCGTGCACCACTTCACATCCTCCCGTATTGATTTATAAGAAGCAACTATCCCCAGTTAGCCCCCGCTGCCTCCGTCACAGGGCCATGACTGTTGTTATTATTGGACGTGGAGGGTGGTTAGTGGGGGATGTTGAGCACTATCCCATCGGGGCATCTGAACCCCTGACTCTGTGGAGACGGGATGATGGAGGCGCGTGCGTGCGTGTGTGTCCGTGTCCCACAAGTGGAACATTTCATCTTGCAGATGTTGCATCAAGCTTTACAGATGTGTGGGAACACAATGGGCTTTATTTGCGTTTCATCCAAAACATGATCTTAGCATTAGATGAGCATTGTACAACAAAGACGCACTGTTCTGACAACCTTTTTTGTCAGAACAGTGCGTTGCAATTAGCATAAATAATAAATATAAATATAAATATATATATATATATATATATATATATATATATATATATAATATATATATATATATATATATATATAATTTTTAAAGGGATTGAAATTTCCGAAAATCAATTTTAGTTTTTTTTTAAAAGTGGGCTTTTAAAGTTAATGTGCACAAGTCTAACTGGCTGCTTGCTCTGTTGTCATAAGTTAACAGGCATGAGAATCTGCTCACCTTCCTCTTGGCATGACTGTGAAAAGGCCTGTTTCCAAAAATGTCTACCTCACTACATTTATCTTCCTCTTCTCAACCACGCATGTAAAACCCCAAAAGAGCACACAGCCCAGTCTTGGTAACATGTTATTTGCACCCCTGTCTGCCAAACATGCAGGAGTAAAAACAACAAAAATCCCCGCAAACTCTGCAGTGTGTGTTGGGAGCCCCTCTGGAATACGACCAGAGAGCATCTCCAGCCCCCTGAGCTTCTTCCCTGACCTGATTCATTCCTGCTGTGACACAAACAGCAGCTTAGGCCAGACAAGTCAACAATCCGGAGCACTGGAATGTCCTTCGGTACGATACGGAGTTTGTCACATAATAGTATAAAGGATACTCCGTTAGTCCCCTTTAGCAATAAGGTGTGTTTAGCCTCACCCAGTTAACTCATTCCCTCCCCACACTGTGCTGCCACACCCTTCCACACAGCCTGTCATCGCCGGGGAGACACTCCCTGTCAAACCTCTGTGTGGGGGTGGGCGTATGGATCCATTGTCTCTGCAGCAATACTCTTTGCAGTGTTGTTAGTTTCAGCCATGCATGGGGGGGGGGGGGCGGCAGCATCAGTGAGAAGTTTAGTGCAGAAAGCACACGAGGACACCGGGCTGAATTTACTAGAATAGTGTTGAATGTCACACTAGCGTCTCACCGCGGACGGCTGGACGGGATCTGTTCCTGCTGTTCCGTTTTAGCGCACAGGGGTTATTAGTGGCCAAAATGAAGTCACCCCGGAGGCCGTTGCGTCACAACATAGCAGGTGATGGGTGTGGGGCGTGGTGTGGCCCCTTGTTATGTATGTATGTATGTGTGGGTGGATGACGGAGCAAGGTGCAGTGAGAGTGTAAAAATCCATCGTTCATTAACTGGAAAGGCGCAAAGTCCAGTCCGAAGTACACTATGCAAACATCAGCTATTACTCAGGGGTGATAAAGGGGGGAGGGACCAGCAGATAAGCCTCCACACTCAATTTTACTCGCCACAATATAAAGTTTGTTTTGTTGCTTAGCTTTAATTTATATTCCGCGCCGTGTTTATATCTAAACTTTGGTTTTCTTGGCTTGTTCTAATGTCATGGGCAGAAGGAAAACTAAAAAACAAGCAAGTTAATGAGAACACCCGAGGGGAACAACAGTTATCAGCAAGCGAGCGCAGCTTCAAACATCCGATGGGTCAGTGGATAAAACCCCCACTGTACAGTGGCTGAGCAGGATTTTCGGTAACCTAAGAGATATGCGGGGTGTGTTGCAGCATTTGGAACAGTTGGCTGAACCCGCTGCCTCGCCCAAGAAAACAAAGACTACACAAACACTGTCACTGATTTACAGAGACTAGCAAAGTTGTGTGTGGACGCGGCGAAAAAAGCTGGAGCTGTGCTTAAATCAAAATGTCTAACCTTTTTTCTTTTTTTTGTTGGATCTGTCTCCAGCAGTAAATCAATTTAAATGTTTTTTGGATTAAAACAATTCGAGACCTAAATCTCTGACAGGAAGTTTCCTATCGTCTTGACGGAGCAGTGCTCGTTTTGAAACGAGGCTGCACCTTTTCGTTAGAACAGAAGGAATACACTGGAATAGTAATCGTAGTTTCTGTCTCATGAGTCAGTGCAGTAAGTGTGAGGCAGCGTGTAGCTGCAAGCACAGACAGTCCTCGGGGGGGAAACTGTCCTGCAGGATCTCGTGCCGCACCGAATACAGCGGAAACTCCCACGTGAAGCTGAGATAGAGGGACGTGTTGGGACCTTTTAAGAGAACATCGGGTTCAGGTGAACGTGTTGTGACTACTTGCGTATCCATGGCGATTAACGCATGCAGGGTGCAAAAAACATGTGGGGACTTGCATGGGCGTTGCCAGCCCGTTAACGTGCCACAGAGCGGTAAAAAACCAGGCCGGTTTAATTAAGCACAAGTACACTCACCCTGTGGTTTTACTTCATCTTACAAACGGGAAGGGAAAACAAAACCTCCTGCAGACATTAAACTAACACACACAGAACTAACGCGGTTTGATGCCTGGGTGAGAAAAAGTGGGCCAAGGGACTGAAACGTAACACGACACATCCTTATGCAAAGCCCGAGGGCGAAAAGACGAGGGAGTGGTGCTTCACATCGCGGGCGGCTCCAGTGTCTGAGGCAGAGAGACGGTAGAAGAGCTCTGTAGAAATTCCTTTCCTTCAAATCCATCATCAGTCCATCAATTCTCTGCAGTACTCGCCACAGTAGATGGTTTTGTTGCGCAAGTGTGAATGCTTACTTTAGTTTGAATGCAAGTCGAGGGGAACCACCAAATTTTAGCACCATGTTTTATTAGTTGCAAAGATGGAAGATAAGTGTAGGCGCTTAATGCATGGAATTATGTGGAGCAATTTTATTTATTTATTTTTTATTGCTGAAGAATAGGACGACTATCCTCCTACATTTGCTGTGCACGCACAGATACCCAATGCACTCCTGCAACGTCCTCTGCAAAGGATCTGGTCAATAACAAACAAAACATCTGAAAACGCGTGTGAGCAGCACAACACATTGTGTCGCCCGTATGCAGATTCTTCAGTGATGAGGGTTTTCTGTGTTGGAGTTTACAAGCATCGTCTGACAGCAGAGACATGTTCAACTCGGCCATATTAAAGCACGGTGTAAGACCGATTATTATACTGTGCCGCAGTAAGACAGCTAAAATTGTAAAATACAACTATGAACCTATTCGGTGGGGCAAATGGAAACCTGACGAGCAGGTTGCTGATCGCCGTGTGTCATGATCGCCGTGTGTCAGCAGCAGGCCGCTCCCACAGCGGCTTGGGTGGAGGCCCTGGGTGAAAGGTCACTTGTGCCGGCCAGCATTCCTGACTTACAGCTGTCTCTTTGCCCTCCCTCCCCCCATGAGGCTCTGTGTTGTCGTTTTCGGGGCCGGGGTGCGTGGCTGGGCGGGTGACTGGTGGGGGTCATCCTGTGAACTGTCATATTCGTGCTGCATATAAAAACTGTGTGACAGTCCTGGAATATTAATTGATGTTGGGAAGTTTCTCCATCGTAGATCTTGACTTTTTTTGTTTTCTTTTCTAGGTTTTCTCCATCGTTGTTATATCGGCAAGGATGGCAATGCAAAGTAAGTCATATTGTTATTTAGTTTTTATACCGACTGTATTTTACAATCCTATTAAATTACCTCTTAACTCACTGTTACTGTATGTGCACATTAAAAACCATCACTGTAAATGTGCCACTGGCTTCTGCATTTTTAGGTTCACTTTTGTATTAATAGCCTCATTCCACTGTACTTTCAAAGGACACCGTTTATGATTATTATCTTTCCTACTTCCAACAATTGTTTTCATGTATTTATGTTGCCATTCTTTGAACAACTAAAGGTCATTTCTGTAAGTGTTCCTCTCACAAGTAAAACACTGCTCTGCCGGCCAACTAAATGACTCTGGTTCCACAATCCGCGTGGTTACATGGATTCGAATAACTGGCTTAGCCGGACTGAAATCTAATTATCCGTTTCATGTTAACATCTTTGTCCTGACATGCTTTCGGCCAATGATTCGATTTATTCACTGCCATGTATATCGGGATAATAGCACCTCCCCCCGAAAGATAGCATAGTCCGACTAAGCAAAGATTCGAATTATACCATCATGTAAACACACTGACTTGGCCCACACTGACGTCCCATAACTCCTCTCGTTGTGCCTGGCAGTGTCTGAGGCCGAGAGTGGCCGAGTGAAGGTAGAGAACTGGCAAGAGACGATGTATGGCATCGACTCGGGCATCCAGTCCGGAGCCAACACCTTCAGAGACGACGACTACACCAGCTCCAAGCACTACACCATGACCACCACTGTCACGTCTGACCAGCCCGGTAAGACGACGAGCCCCGGCCAAACCCCCCCCCCCCCCCCCCCCCCCCCTTCCCTATCACATGTGACCCGCGATGTCATCGATGTTATTTCTCTGCAGATGTGGATGCCCACTACACTAGAGCCCAGCGGGTGCGGGCCGCCATGTTCCCAGAGACGCTGGAGAGCACCACCACCATCCTGTCGACCCAGACGGACCCGTCCCAGATGACCAACGTCCAGCGGCTGGCAGAGCCCTCCCAGATGCTGAAGACCGCAATCGTCCATCTGATCAACTACCAGGACGATGCGGAGCTGGCCACGCGCGCCGTGCCGGAGCTCACCAAACTGCTCAACGATGAAGATCAGGTGAGGGGCGCCGGATCGTGACAGGCTAGACGGATCATTTTGAAGACCCCACGTCGAACGGGAACATCTTAGCAACCACACTCCGTTGCAGAAGTAACTGATGGCAGAAGGAGTCACTTTTCTGAATGTAACCGTTCTTCTTTCATCAGGTGGTGGTCAGCAAGGCAGCACAGATTGTCAACCAGCTTACCAAAAAGGAGGCGTCGCGGCGTGCGCTGATGCAGTCCCCTCAGATGGTGGCGGCGGTGGTGCGGGCGATGCAGAACACCAGTGACATGGAGACGGCGCGGGCCACGGCCAGCATCCTCCACAACCTGTCCCACCAGAGAGAGGGCCTGCTCTCCATCTTCAAGTCTGGAGGCATTCCTGCTTTGGTCCGCATGCTCAGGTACGTGCTCGCTGTTTATGACTTTGATCCCTGCTGTCGGGGAGATGGACGCTTTCATATCTGTAGGTGTTTACCTTTATAGTTAGTCATCGTTTGCCTTTTTGATGAAAACAATGGAATTGCTCGGGACTCTCCATGCGATGTTTTAATCTACACATATCTTCCATGAATGCGTGGCAACTGTTTGTGGCATCAGTTAACCCGTTTCTCTCCCCCAGCTCTCCCATGGAGTCTGTGCTCTTCTACGCCATCACCACGCTCCACAACCTGCTGCTGCACCAGGAAGGAGCTAAGATGGCCGTTCGCCTGGCCGACGGCCTGCAGAAGATGGTTCCCCTGCTGAAGAAGAGCAACCCCAAGTTCCTGGCCATCACCACGGACTGTCTTCAGCTGCTGTCTTACGGCAACCAGGAGAGCAAGGTTAGTCAGTGCATGTAATGCAACGGCTGGTACACCAGTACTCTGTTGTAATTGTGCTTGTGTTTACACACGTTTCTTGTGTTGGGTGTGGCGTGGGAGCACGGGTATTCAGCTGCTGACACACTCAGGGTGTGGTTATTTGTAAAGTGGTAAAATGGCTGCGGTTTAACAGGTTTTGATTTTGCCCGTCCCAGCTCACAGCTCGATTTTGTCCTTTTTGTAAACCTTTTTTTACAAAGGGATCCTGAGAAATCCTTTTAACGCCACCTGCGCTTTGTATACTCACACAGTCTGTCTCTTACAGCTGATCATCCTTTCCAACGGGGGTCCTGAGGGTCTTGTTCACATCATGAGAAGCTACAGCTATGAGAAGCTGCTGTGGACCACAAGCCGTGTGCTCAAAGTTCTCTCTGTGTGCCCCAGCAACAAGCTCGCCATTGTAGAGGCCGGTATGTAATGCGTGTTCTCTTTGTGTGTGTGTGTTCAAGGAAGTCCTAATGTGTGACGGGGCTGAACTGTGGCTATTGGCTTCTTGTCAACCACAGTGCTGCATGACAGCACAATTACTGAGAGCAGTTATCTAACTTCTCTGTGCAGGTGGGATGCAGGCTCTGGGGCAGCACCTCACGGGCTCCAGCCAGCGTCTGATGCAGAACTGTCTGTGGACCCTCAGGAACCTCTCTGATGCTGCCACCAAGCAGGTCCGTGTCCACGCTAGTCTTCTCCCCCTTTTTGACCGTCGGTTCATTCCGCCACCACCATCATTTGACACTTGAACGTTTCTGAATTCTCTCTCTCTTCTGGTTTCCAGGAGGGCATGGACAGCCTTCTGCAGATGCTGGTGGGCCTGCTCGGTTCGGACGACCTCAACATGCTCACCTGCGCCACCGGCATCCTGTCGAATCTCACGTGCAACAATGCCAACAACAAAACTCAGGTCACCCAGGGCAACGGCGTCGAGGCGCTGATCCACGCGATATTGCGTGCTAGTGAGAAGGAGGATGTGACCGAGCCTGCTGTTTGCGCTCTGCGCCACCTGACATCCCGCCACCAGCAGGCTGAGGTGGCACAGAACGCTGTGAGGAGACACTACGGCATCCCCGCCATCGTCAAGCTGCTCAACCCACCCTACTACTGGCCCGTCATCAAGGTAGAGAAGAGGGATGGCTGCAGGGGATGGGATGGGCCGAAATGGGGGTCAATACTATTTTGTTTTTTGTTTTTAAGCTTGAAAGTAACCGTATGTCGGTCTATAAAGTGGAAGCCACTGTTTTTCTGCTATGATAATGTTTAGAGGGAGGAAAGCTGTCCACTGAGCAGACTGGACGTCTACTAAACTTTCACTTTTCATCTTGACCTCACTGCAAGTTAAACATCCACAGACAAATCAATTTATTTTTACATTCAATTGGTCGCGGAGAGGGGTTGACTCAAAGCAGGTGGTTTGGGGAAGTGTAGGCTTGCGGTAAACGTTGAGACAGATGGTTGAAGGGGACGGCGGGTCCTGCAGAAAGCCAAAGTCTAAATCAACCGGAACGAGCATGAAATGTCATGACAGCGGGAACAGTATGTTGTACGAGACCAGGCTCTGTAGGGGGATGGGTAGTTAGCAATAGACTCTAGCTTCTGATTAAAGGCGTTTTGTCAGTTGCCTTTTAGTTGCTTACCAGTAGTGGTGGATGGTATCATGACGTGATCTTTTTCCACCGCAAGGCCGTGGTCGGCCTGATCCGCAACCTGGCCCTGTGCCAGGAGAACCAGGCCCCTCTGAGGGACGCTGGAGTAATGCCCCGTCTGGTCAACCTGCTGGTCAAAGCCCACCAGGACGCCCAGAAACATGGTTCATCCTCCCAACAGACATACCAGGTACGTGCTTGCGGTTACTGGTCAACTACCTGTGGCTTTAAGGGATGGTGGAAATTAGTAGTTGTTTTCATTTTTTAATTTGTTTTATTCCTGGGTAACGCGTCTTCTCTCCAGGATGGAGTGAGGATGGAGGAGATCGTGGAGGGCGCCACAGGAGCGCTGCACATCCTGGCAAGAGATCCCAACAACAGAGCAGAGATCGCCAACCTGCAGACCATCCCTCTGTTTGTTCAGGTAGCAAAAGGAACCTTGAGCTCTCTGGCAACCGCTTCCGTGATGATTCCTTTCCTTATGTTTGGTAGCTTTTATCTTCCTCATTTGAGTTGTGTGTGTGTGTGTGTCTCTCTCTCTCTCTCGTTCCAGCTGCTCTACTCTCCAGTGGACAACGTAAAGCGCGTGGCAGCGGGCGTCCTGTGCGAGCTGGCCCTGGACAAACCGTCAGCCGAGCTCATCGACGCCGAGGGGGCGTCTGCGCCGCTGATGGACCTGCTGCACTCCAACAACGAGGGCATCGGTAGGACTCCCGGATAACGCACCGCGTTTAGCCTACCGCAATGTGGCGTTTAGACAAAAGAACAAAGGCAATTTACTCAAGTGCTGTACTTCCTCTAAGTGCCATTTCCAGGTACTTTACTCGGCATGGCCGTGTCCACTTGGGTGCCGGTACACGTTTACTCCACTGCATTTCATAAATGAATAGAACTAAACGCAGGACATCTGCAGAAAACTGTACATTCACAACCCGATTGTATAAAAATAGCTTTAGGGTTCTCAAGTTGGTGCATAGGTAGTTTTCAGAAAGGTGTTTATTATTAACTTGGTGACATTGTGATTTGGTTTGTTTCCTGCCAGGAGTTGGATAAGAGGAGTGTTACTGTTCTCTTTTTGTATGATCAATATAACACGCCTGCCAGAAACTAGTCAGCTCAGCTTGATTTACAGATTCAAGATAAAAAATTAATGATTTTTTTTTTTTTTGTCCCGATTGTCTCCCCCTCAGCTACCTACGCTGCAGCTGTGCTCTTCCGCATCTCTGAGGACAAGAACTCCGACTACAAGAAGCGAGTGTCTGTGGAGCTCACGCACTCTCTGTTCAAGCACGACCCCGCTTCCTGGGAGATGGTGAGTGTCTGGCACCCTTGGTGGCCAGAATTAAATTATCTTTAATAATAGGGTGCATGTGCAAGTGCTTTTTTTTAATTTGCCTTCTCGTAAACTCTGCAGGCCCACAACAGCATTCCCATGGAAGGACCCTATGCAGATGGTAAGTAACTATGTCTGAAATGTGCACGTGCGGCACATTCCTCCGCGCCGGGTCAGTCCGCCACGGGCAGCAACCAAAGCGTTGAAATACTGAAATCCGCCAACACGTTGCTTCCCCTGCTGCAGTTAACAGATTTCATTTACTATAGTAGAAGTAAAAGACACTGGAGGCTTTTTATTTATGCACCTCTACTTTAACCTCGTCAAATATTTTCACCTTCCTGGTGTGTCCTTATCTATGTTTGGATCTTTCTCTTAATTCCCATCCTCTTACCTCTCCTGAGGTTTCTCCTTGTTTGGCCCTGGTATTTTTCTGTGTCCTCTCACAGCTGAAAGACTCAACTTCTCCTCACTGCACTGCAGAAATCTGCCAAAAATGTGGAAAACATTAAATCATTTTCCACTAGCTTTTTAGCGAATACGTACTAGCGTATTGTCTGTGCCGCTGAACACGCCGTCGTGACAGGAGAAGTAACTTATTTAGATTAAGACTGATCTGATTGTCCAGTGTGGGGGAAAAAAAGGTAAAAACAACAACCACCATGAACGTTGTAATCTCTTTGCAGAGCTGGATGGTTTCCCAGCCTACGCAGGGTACGCTGCTGACATGCCCATGGACGGCATGGATGGAGTGATGATGCAGGAGAATTACCCGTCCAGCATGACCTTCGACAGACAAGCATACTGAATATCAACGGTCAGTACGTGTTTCAATTATACGCATTTCTCATTAACATTAAAAACTGATGACTATAGAAGGATAAAACCGTAGGTATCCTTTTTAATGAAGAGTTTAACATGACTTTATTTTTTTAAGAACCTGTTGTGAGATCATTTCAATCAGGTTTGATCCCATGAAATATAATTTGCAAAATGATACGTGTTGCTAATATTGTCATAGTCACAAATGTTTCCTGCACCTGAATAGAGATTCCTCTTGTGAACCGTGTAAGCTTGGGCTGAATATTTTGTGGCTGTCCAACAGAACTGTTAAACAACACGTCTGTAGGAGAAGAGACTAAGTTTGATATTGTGAAATCTGATTGTTCCTCCTTCTTTCCTCTTAAAGAACCTGAGGAGACGCGTGTGGAAAAGGAAGCGGAGGAGCTGAAACGGGACATACTGGGACAAAGAAGAGAATAAAGGCGTCTGTAGAGATTCTTCCCTCTGCTCTCTGCCTGATGTAATATATGCAATTAGTGTATGAGTGTGGGACTCATAATCTTAACAGGGCTCAGCTTTGTTTTAAAGCATAATTTTACTGATTATAACTTTGACGATGCTTGTAGGTTTCTGTTAGAGAACCTTTTTAAAGAGTGTGTGCGTGCGTATGTGAGTGTCTGTGTGTTTACGCTTTTGGGTGGGTATTCTATGCCAAAGAGATTTTATTTTGTGATGATGATCTTGTAGCTTCCTTATTTTCTTTTTCTTTCTTTTTTTATTTTCTAAAGAAAAATGGAAAAAAAACAAGAAAAAAAAAACGACGAGCGTAATAGTTAAACACTGCCAGTGGAGGCTCAACGTGCACGATGCACCTGCTCGCCGCTGTCGTTTCTTCCTTCACGCCTTTGTAACAGTCACAGCGGTCTGCGACGTAGCTCGGACACTATATGCTGTCAAATCTTCCGTCGTGAGGAGCTAATTCAGTAGGTTCAGTTCAGCAGGGCTGCTCTCCTCTCCCACCCGTGTAATCATGTAATATACAAGTTTATTCACAACCAGAATATCGGCAATGATGTCTTTTTGTTATGAAGAGTTTAGAGAAAAGATTTGTCTGTGGAATCATTTCAGAAACAGGAATCCGTTAAACTACTGGATCCCTTAGTCGACAGGTGAGATGGTGTAGTTGGGGACAGCTGGAGCAAACTACGGACAGGGAAATTTGTCTTTCTACTTACCAAGAGTTTTTACTGAAATTTTGTTTAATAAAAATAAAGGATCTATTAAACCCCAAATGGTTTACATGTTTGCAATGATTTACCTGTTATCCAATTCTTTTGAAGCTGAAAAGCTTAATGAACCCTTTGGGGGAAAGAAATCTCTTTATGGCCAAATTATAACGACAACACGCCCCAAACGTGGAGGTCAATCCACTGTCACCTGAGAGGAAGTTCCTACCAACATCAAAGCGGAAGGGGGGACACCTACTGGACTCATTGTGTCCGTCATACGCTCAATACATTGATCTGATCAATCAGGGTCACAATGGCTTCTGTTGACTTTTGTATCTGTTCACATGTAAGACCACAGAAATGGCAGCGTTTGTTGATCCGCTGTTATAACGGTTTAAACATCTGATGTCTCCTGCGCTATAATGAAAGCCAAACTAGTATTTGTCTCTAATGGAAGTTATGAGTTCAAAGCATTTTCAAGTTGTGAAAGTGTTCCAGTCACTGCTGCAGTGTCTTCTCTGGATGTTTTTAATTCAAATGATTCTCTGAATCCCTTTCCATCTCAGTCTTTTGCTTCATGACATTTTGCAAAAGAGAGAATTTTATTTAGATGACTTCTGAAAACCTGCAACAAAGAACTTTAAGGACCGTCAATTACTGGACGTAATATTCACACTTTTGCATAGCAGTTGTGTTCTTTTATTCAACTTCATCGCTGTTGTTGCCACGTCCATGTAGAAAATATATCAACACTTAAATATTTCAGTGGCAAAACGGACACATCATGCAGACACAACATATTGTAGTATATGTATACTGGTGGGCTCCATGAGGACAAAATTGAAAACCTGTTTAAGATTATTGCTTCGGTTCAAACTTGGTCCTTTCATTTCGGCCGTCCTTCACTGCAACGAGTGAAACGCTCCAACTTTATGAGCGTTGTTCAGTTGGTTTCATGTGTCTGCACGTTCATTCATGCAACAGACAAAGTTATACGTTGAGGTCACAACAGTTGGTTTCTGCTGTTCACCAAAGCTTATTTTCAACAGCATTAACTAGATTCTTCAAATTGTTTTTTGCAGAAGATCTAAACCATAAATCCACCTGTTGAGTTCTAAACAGTCTTAATAAAATAAAAGCATTTTACAAGAAGGGCTGGATATCTTTAGGCTGTTTGCATCCTGCTCCTCTCCGGTCAGGGCGCAGAATCCCCGTCCACCCTCGCTGCTCCAGGCAGGCGGCAGACATTTAAATATCCGTGTCCACCGAGGTTTAGATCACGCTATCAAACATGTGCATGGACTGCATGATGCTCTCATCCTGGAGGGAGACACGAAGACAAGTTACTGAGGAAGCCGCGGATGGACACGGTTATTTTGTTGATTCGATTTGCCCGATACCTTTTGGCATGTCTCCAAGAACTCCTCGATGGTGACAACTCCGTCGTTGTTCTTGTCCATTTTCTGGGAAATGCAACACACAAGGACGTGTGAGAGTTGGACCTTCAAGGAGAACCCTGTGGAGTTTTCTTGGCGCGTTAACATCAGCTTAAAAAGATCAGCGGAACCACCTGAAACTGGCGGCAGGAGACGTGTCTTGCATCGATAAAGCTTGTGCGTGAAGCTCTCTACCACTACTTGGGTTAAAAACGCTAAAGTGAAGCTTTAGAGAAAAACAAATACACCACAATTCCTTTAGGGCTCTGTTTTCTATCTACAGATCAGTTTGAATATTTAAGTGTTTTACCTGGAAGAAGTTGTCCACGTGCTCCTTTGGAGCATTGTCCTCCATGCACGGGTACGTATACTTCCCCATCATGTCGTAGATGGAGTGCATGATTTCCGTCATCTCCTGGACGGACCGAATGGGAGAAAAACCATTAAAGGCAAATCAAGAGCCACCAAGGTCTGCCGTCATGACTAAAGACACGAAGACGGAGAGATAGAGAGGACGAGTCAAGCACCTCTCTGGTGACGCAGCCGTCTTTGTTAAGGTCGTACAGGTTGAAGGCCCAGTTGAGTTTATCGGTTATGGAGCCTCTCAAGATGATGGACAAACTTACGACAAAGTCCTACGGCAACAAGAAGGAAACAGCCATGACTAAGATGACAGGTGTCATGGCGACATCAAGAGGAGGGAAATGGAAGGTAAATGTGAAAGCAAGAGGATCAGGGAGATAAAAGAAAGAACAGTATTAATGAGCAGTTTACTAATACTCAGTGTATATATATATATATATATATATTTGTGTCTTTGTATTTTAAAAGTACTGAGTTGCCACAATGGAGCATGAGGGAAGGAAATGCATAGAGTGAATGTGAGAAGATACAGAGGGAAGAAAATAATCACCTCGAAGGTGACCGAGCCATTGTTTCGGGTGTCAAATGCTTCAAAGAGGAAATGTGCATACATACTTGAATCTGGAGGGTAAAAAAATGACAGAAAAGTCAGAAGGCTTTTGAGTGAAATTATGTTCAAAGATAATCGTAAAGCTTTTTGTTTCATATCGCGCTTTTTTAAATCTTTAAAAAATGACAGATTATCATTATGAAAATATTAAATAATGTCAGAAGAACAACGTTTAGCTCAAAGTAGAGAGTATGAACTGAATCAGGGATGTAATGTGGTTCCAGGACCTGCAAACTCCCCGCCAATAAAGATAAAATACACAAGATATTAATATTCCGGGTGAGTTGAACGCAGGATCTGACTGACCTCCATGAGGAAAGAACTGGGAGTAGATGCTTTTAAAAGTCTCCTCGTTCACCACACCGCTGGGACACTCCTGAGGATTTTTTTTTACAAAAACCACACAGGGACGCAGATTCCATATTAAATTAGATTTGGTCAGTGAAAACATAAAGAGAGAGTTCACAAATGAAACACAGGGCTCTTTGACTGACATTCTTGAATCCCCGGTAGAGGACCTGCAGCTCCCTCCTGCTGAAGTTGGTCTTTTGCACGAGGGGGTCGAGCCCCTCTGGTCGGTAACGCACCGCCGACAGTTCCTCATCATCGGCTGTGCTACCTGCAGAGGAAAAGGAAGAAGTTACTCCCCCGAATACACCAGAGTTTCGTTTTTTCCTCAATGAGTTGCATAAAGGGGAGTCTGGGTGAGGATGGACCGTGTGTCCTGGCACTTGCTTTGAGCCACTGAGGAGCTGGAGCCGGAGCGGAAGCAGGGGAGAAGTTTGAGGAGCCGCTGCTTTACGGTCTTTTTATTGGGTTTGGATGGAGGATTTCCTGGAAACAACCAATCACAGCGGAGATTAGAGGCGCGTTGGGAACACCGTGTGAGACAGCTAAGCCACAGGCATAATTATGCTCAAAGTCTTTCAATCACTTTTCCGTGCAGAAATTAGTCTGCTGACCCGGCTTTGAACCAGTGTGACGGATCGAAGCTGTTTGGGGAGCATCCAGGATGTGAGGGACGTGACACATGAATGCAGTCTGAGATCCGAGCTACGGAGGTTCATACAGAGCGTTCGACATGTCCAAAATTATTATTTATTTTCAGTCAAATTACTTCAAAAGCTTCAAGTTACCCTGGAAGTATCTTGAAACATGAAAGACCTGGTTACTGGTGAATAAATGACAAAACGTGCCGATGAATAGCAGGTGTAATGTTCATGGTGTTCTCTGTGCTGAGATGCTAAAACCGCCACGTGCACTGAAGCCCCGCGCGGGAAGCTCACATTACAACCCACGCCGAGGGCGCCTGACCTGACTGACATGGCTGATATGTTTTCATGTTGCATTGAGGACATTCAAAACGTTCACACTCACAGCGACTTTGAGCTGTTATGTTGTTAGTTGTCCTCCTCACTTTTTTAAACCCCAAGTACTTCTCTAATTGTACTCATCTGATAACATGCTCCAAAGCGTCATGTGAATCAATGAATGACAATCATCCTCATTGAGCTGATTATTGAACAGAACGTTTGCATGTATTCCTTCTCCCATCCCAGCTCCCCGCCTCGTCTCCTCCTGCAGGAGCACCAGATGGTCGATCCACCTGCCAAAAACATCATCTTTATCATAGCTTCTGTTCTGCAGCTTTGTCTGCACCTAAGTTCTTGTGTGTTCCGTGTAATGGTCTCTCTTGCTTTCAATGGCTGAAGGCATCTTGTAGACTTTCTCTTCCTAAATCAGGAAACAATGATGACAGAAGCTCACACATGCATCTCCAGACCTACATGTGTTCTTCTTGCCACTAGAGGGAAGCGTTGAACTACATCCCGATTATACTCAAATGTTTAAGGCCAGAAGGTCAGAGAAAGGAAAAAACAACATTTAACCCAGTTAAAGAGTCTTTTAACCACAACTTTTAGCCACTGGTATGAACTATTTAGCAACACTAAGGGAAATCAAGAAACTTCGGAATAGGAGGACAGTGAAGCTTTGAAGATAAGTCATCACCTCTTTTTATTCATCATTAGAACAACTTTGAAATTGAATGTGTTTCGGTGAGAACTTGTATTTGCGTTTCACATTGAGGTCAGAAAGAATTTCTGAATATTTGACGATCAATTGGTTCAGTTAAGTTTCTGTCAATGAGAATTTTATAATAGTTTAGCTTAAACAAAGTAGGAGGACGAAAAATCGATTGATTCATCTTTATATTATGATTTTTCTCAAAACCAGCCAAATACACATAAACTACAGTTTATATGCAAATAATTAGTGGAGAAAGACTTTTGAATTGAAGATTTCTTTTATTAATGATAAGGTGATTTGTAAAATAAATTCTAAATATATATATATATATTTTAAAAACACCTACACTGGGAGGATCATTTAATCATGACGCAGACCTAAACTCCTCAGGTCACTGGGACGTCACGGCCGCTCCAGTAGGTTCACGAAGCACTCAAAGGACGTTCGTAACCAAATGTTGCCTGTGCATGGAAAGCTTAACATAATCCTTAGAAAGGACACGGTTCAGCTTATAAACATTCCTCTCATACAGACCATGGACACACACACACACACCATCACATACACATACACACTCTTTCCCTTCCACTCCCATCTTGAGATGCCCCGTGGTCGTGACGGAGGTTTTTATCTAATCATTTGACCGTATGTGTCCTCACACAGAAGCACACGTCACCGTCGGTTACGCAGGATCGGCTTTGAATTTTTGTTAACGTCGATCTTGATACTCGTCATCAAGTCAAGACATTTTAAAATCTGCGTTGTAACTATGTTACTTAAATGCAAAATGTATGTTATCATTGATAATATGAAAAAAATCATTAAAAAGAAGGACATGACTCACAATATGTGGAAACTGACACAACACACAATGTTAGTTGGTGAATCCCATTAACTAAGCCAAGAAATGCAAAGCTGAATTTGGTCAAGTGATGTTTAAGGGTTAGTTTTGTACACTTACACTTTCTTTTCTTGTTGAGAATGAGAGGAAAACTAATATGTGATCTTTAAAAGTTGTTGGCAGGAGACTTTTGTTATCTGCTTCCCTGCTCCTGGTCTGTAATGCTAAGCTAAGCTAACTTGCGGCCCACACTTTGTATAAACAGTGCAGATACGACATCTATCTCTGCAGGAACGAAAACAAAGCGGATTTCGATGTGTCGAGCTTAAGCGGAGCAGCTACATTTTGACAGCATTGTCTGCTCAGTCTTTGAAAAAAGTCCTTTAGATGCATTTGCTGTTTATGTTTTACGCAACTGTTTGGCTCTTTATTTGACAGATTCAATAGAGCTGAACAGCAATGAACAGTAATAGCTGCTGTTCCACAGTTTTTGCATCATACGCTCCAGTCTTTCATAAAAAAAAGAAAAAAGCTGGTTTGTGTGTGTCGTGTTACAGCCTCTGTGTTCATGCACCTGTTCACTGTTTGGTTTGCCTGCTGCTGAATGGATACCACGCTGCCTATTGTGCCGGCTACAACTATCAGCCAGTGAATAAACATTCGTATTCCTGCCATCTGCCCATGTGGAGGCGATCTAAATAGTTTTAAAGGGAAAAGGCTATTTCGGGGAAGTTGTCACAAGAAAGACAGACGCAATCGTGTGTGTCTGTGTGAGTGTATAGGTGTGTGTGTCTGTGTGTGTGTGTGAGAGAGAAACAAATAGTGATGTGCTTTCTAATCCCTGGAGACATTTGTCTTTGCAAGCTCTCAGGACGAAGATTAAAGACTGACAAACAGAGGAGCCTCACTGATCTTCACAAGTATAATTTTAGATGACGAGAAACCAACTTTTTTTCTTTTTGTTCTCTCTCTGCTTTACTTCAGAACTCATCAGTGCGTTTATCTGATGTGGTTTTGCCACCACCGGACACGAAGGAGGCTTATCTTGGTGATATGATGACATGAGAGAGAGAGCATTAAAAATCACATCATCAATAATCCCTTGCGCGGTATTTTTAGGACATTTCATGAAAACAGGACATGTAACTACAAAATAAACAACATGAATAAATGGATTATCAAGACACATCACATTCATCATTCACACTTCATCATTCAGTCATTTAGTCTACTAGCTGTCGGGAAATTATTTTATTCAGACTGCACTGAAAAAGACTGATACTCAGATTAAATAAATGCTGTCAGCTCGTACAGTGAACTTCCAAATCATCTATTCATGTCAGCATTGTTACCAAAGTTCATAAGACCGATCACTGTACATTCCACTGACTGTGGCGCAAACATCTGGACGTGTAGCCTCATAAACAACACATCTTCATTCGGTCACATTCACACGCAGCAGCTTGAAGCAAATGATCAAACATGAGTTTGTTTCAGTCCTGGATAACATTACATTGAAATGACCCTGAATCGTCTCTTGTTTGTATCAGTTTTACTACCAAAGCAAACTTTCATGAGCGCACATCCCCGCAAAGCTCCGCAGCTCCGCAGCCGATCGGACAATTGATTCCCGTTTCCCGGGAAAAAAGATAGACCGATACCTGTTAGCGGGTCGTAAGATCGGTCCAGTTCCCTGGAGTCAGACAAGCTCTGGTCCTGACTCCTGGACTTCATGGTTCTCCTCAGATTTGACCGGAACCGCCGATCCGGTAGGATCGGTGCGTGCGTCGCAGCAGCCGCTCATCTACCGACCTCCTGTTTGCACGTCCCGCCTCCGCGAGCGTTCCTCTCCGTGCGCGTGCGGGTTTGGGTGTGCGTGTAAGTGTAGGTGTAGGTGGAGGTGTGGGTGTGGGTGGTGGTGGTGGTGGTGGGTGTGTGTGGTGCCAACTGGTCGCCGACAGAAGGACAGGCAGAAAAAAAAGAGTACAGGTCCGCGCAGGAGCTCGCGTGCCAAAGCCCACCTCTCAGCATCAGTTACTGGGAGTTCAAAGGTCAAGTGGATCCACAGCACAAATGTGACGGCTCTTCTCACGCTGATTGTCACGAGGTGACAAAGAGCGGTCGCCTGTCAGCTGGAGCGGAGGGAGGGAGGGATGGAGGGAGGGAGGGAGAGACAGACAGACAGAGACTCTGTGCCCCTTTGATGATGTCCTCACCTCGACTCGGCTCGGTGGGACGAAGTCAAATCATTTCAATATTAAAGCCATGAATACACAACGTAAGCCAAGTGGATTTATGAGATAAACTTTAAGACGTCCACTGCTTTGTTTCCCGTCACAAAGCTTCTATTTGGAGCCCCTGACATAATACTTTGAGCCTCTCTGGGGCATCACCAGCGTTTTAGTAAAATCCAAAATTCGTTTAAGAATTGAAGTTTTGACATATTTCTTTGAAGCTCATAACGTCTCAAGATCCAGCGAAAATGACAGGTAATGAAGACTAGGTTTCGTGGTTGGTGTATTGTTTGGATTCATGTTGAAATCAAGGTGCTGTGATGAGCATCTCTTAGTCTGATCTTGGATGTAGCGATTCCCTTTCTTACTTGAGTTTATATGAGAGATAATATGTTTTGGTCAAATGGAAAACTCACAAGAACCACAAGCTGAAATAACCTGAGTTTGAGGCTCTGTGGCAGACACGTTGAGCCCTGAATCCTTCCAGAACTCCGCATTAGATGCAAACTTTGCCAGAGGGAATAACTCACAATTTAGATGAACAGTTTAAAAGATTAGAGATGAAATAAAATTACACAGGAAATCAGAGGATATTCATTTATTCAGCAAAATATTTTAGCTTGTCATTGAGGCATTCAAACATCAGACGGTCACCAAAGCCTTTGGGATTAATCGTCTGGGGAACATGAGTGTGCATTTAAAATATTTGGCCAATCCATTCTGTGGAGTTATTACTGAAAGCTTTGACCTGCTGGTAGAGTTTTAGGAAAAGACGGGAGAGCAGCAGAGAGTCAGGATTCCTCCTCTGGGGACCATGAAAATGTCCGGGCGATCCATCCCATAGTTGAGACTTTTCAGTCCGGTCCAAAGTGGCCGAGCAACCTGCCACCCATCGAGCTGCTGGAGACCAGCGGCAAACTGCTCCAAGCCAAACATGGGATTACACAAATGATGAGATTTCTCAGGCTTTACAAATCTCCGTTGGAGCCACAGGAGGTATTATATTATTATACAGCTGGTTCTCAGGCCGCGTAAAACTCCCATGATTAGAACAATTGATTGTTGACATGTAAAATCAATAGTACTCCTTTAATCCCGCTTCAAAATCCAACAAAGACTTTTCATGGCTCTTCTTTTTTTTCAAATTCAGTTTTTATCCCACAACTTACGACAGATTGACAATAAACCCCAAATAATCAGTGTTCTTGTGGGCGCCAATAAACGTTGACTCTCAAACCATCAAATGTAATCGGATAAAGAACAAGTCCTTCTGCCAGGAGAAGCTAAATGGTGCTTGTTGGGGGACAGACGGCGTGATGGAGCTTCCTTTAAGACAGGCGGGCGAGTGAGGGATGATCACGTTGTCTCACTGGAGACCGATGAAGAGGAGAGGGAAAAAGAGTAGAGCGAGGACACCAAAAGAGGCCCAGAGAAGTGGTAAAAATCAACGAGAGGGATGGTGGTGTATCTGAAAGGGAAAGAGAAGACAGATGGAAGGCAGTGGGGAGGTATTTGAATATATATCGCCTGCCTTGGGACGGCTAAATCTCACAGTATTGATGGTGTTTATCTCTCGGGGGTTCACAGAGAAGTTTACCGTGGCTGCAGGCCGGGAAGTGTAGCCGACAGATAACCAATAATGACCTGTGATTGATGCCTGTAGTTACGCGCTGTGTGCCGCGGTGATAACACCCTAACGCGCGCACACACACACACACACACACACACACACACACACACACACACACACACACACACACACACACACACACACACACACACACACACACACACACACAGGTGAGCTGGCTGTGAGGGACTAATAATATTCAGTGTCCCACTGAAAAGTTGCATTTGAAGACACACAAAAAGAGGAAGGGGTGAGGGGAAGAAGGAGGGAAGACGGGTGGGGGAGACAAAAACAGGCAATCGCCCCTCAAATGAATATTTGATGAGAAGGCTGATGTGCTTAAATTAAACGTTATAAATACACAGCAGAATTAATGGGTTGTCACAGAAAAAGGAAGGTATGCGCAGTCTGAGCGTCCAAGCTGCCGTCAGCACACACACACACGCACACACACACACACACACACACACACACACACACACACACACAATGCACAGATGATATCAGGGAGGTGAAATACTGCTCAATCGACAATAATGGCAACAAAATCAGGGGGGACTCTGTCAGTGGATTGCACTCCACCACATTCAAAAGACATTGCACAAAGGGACCTCTGTTGAGTCCACTTTAAATGCCACGCTGTTGTTCCCAGAAGCACATTATAATCTGTGGAGATGCATCTTTGTACTAACATGATGCTTGCATGCCCATACTCGGCTCCACAATTTTAATTAGGCGTGCTGGAGATGCAGAAATACCAAAGCAAATGTAGAGTAGAGGGGAAATTGTAAAAAGAGTGAGGTTGTTACTCGTTACTTTTACCCAAGAGAAAAACAATGTCTGCTTAGTGGTCTGATTATCCAGCTCTGACATCTTGCTGTATGAAAACCCGATGGACCAAAACTGTTTGTCACACTGGAAAACTGAACATTTACAGGTATTCTTTTCTTCTCAAGTGGAAACTCTCAAATGTCTTTGTTCTACAACCAATTGCAAGTGGTCTTTGCAGTTATTACTTTTAGGCTCAAATGTTATCCTACTGCCACGTCTTTCTAATCTGTTTATCTGCGTCTGTACAGTTTACCTTGAAGGACTGTCGGTGACTCTTCTTACGCTGCCAGTATGCTGATGATGCATGAATATACCACTACAACACAGACATGTTCTCCAGTGGAAACAGGAAAACCAATCAGAAATCTCTCACTCAATCAAACATTTGATTGAGTGATCGTTTGATTGAGTGCGGGATTAACTTTTTCACCATGTAAAGTGAAATTTGATATTTACTGATTAAATCTGGATCCAGCAACTGATTTTACTATGAGTAATTTAAGAGTACTGAAAGAGTCTGTGCGATCCTGAGGCCATAAGTTATCAGATATTTTTCAACTGTCTAACAACAACATGAGCGGTGTTAGTAACCGCGACCTGCATGACTCTTCCTTTCATTCACTGCCCAGATAAAAGTATGGAAAGTACCACTGTGAGAAATAAATACATGCGATGATAACCGTGTAAGTTTTTGGCAAAAAAAGCGAGGGGTGAGGGAGGTGTCAATCAAGCAGTTGCGTCGTGAGTGGAGGCGTATGTACGTGTACAGCTGTTTCAGAATTTGCTGGAGCTAAAAAGGAGAGTGAACATTGTTGCCATTATTTGACCGAAGAAATTGCAGCGTTTGGAGTGTGACGTGCAACAAAGTTCCCACCGAATCATTTGGGTGGAAGATGCTTCATGTATGTTTTGCTGAGTTGTAACACAGTTTTTCTTGCTTAAATAGTAAAAACAGGAAACACTAGTTGAGTGATAGGAATCCAACCTTTATTTAAAAAATAAACATAAATATACCTACAGGAGTAAGAGATGACAGAAATAAGACCCTTCACACAAAATTGGATAATTAGATCTGGTTAAACTCAAAAATAAGGGTCAGAATTGTTCAGAATGAGCATTGCTAGACTGAGAACACACAGACTTGTGCGTCGTGCAGTAGTGAATGTTTGTCCCGGCTTTGTTCAAAAGCAAAAAAACGTTTTCCAGCTACCAGAAGGTTTCTATCACAACTTAACTATGTAAATAATACCTAAATCTTTTGAACATGTCCAGATTTAAGTCAACATTCGTACGACATTCAGCCGAAAATAAAGAGTTAGTGCTCAAATTAAAGAGGATTTACACAAGGTTTTAACTCAAAAAGGCTAAAAGGTCACCGTTACAGATGCTGTTAGGAAAAAAAGAACACAACATTTCGCTTGAAGCTTAAGTCTTCTGAAATAATTACTGGAGAGGAATCATGAATCAAGGGAGCAGAAGCTACTTAAAACATCAGTGGCTGAAATGTTGGATGAACATCTGGAATAAAAAATACTCCATTCAATCCAAAAGTTGACGCATCGACTAACAGTCCAGTCAATACTGCACAACAGGAACCAGCACGGTGCGGGCACTTCAATAATCAAACACACACACATCAACAAACACCACCACATCAGTGCGTCCGTCTCAGTTTCCCACGTTCCGTTCACAGGGGGACAAGACGAGGACCGTCCTTGTTGGTGCGCGTGTGTGTGCGTGCGCGTTAAAGAATGAGCTTGTGTTCACGCGCGCACAGATGCACGGTGTATGTCCATCTGAAGGGAGCAGGAGGAGGGTGGACGAGTGCGTGTGTGTCTGTTTGCGTCTCAGGAGATGGTGGAGAACTCTTTGAGCAGGACGCCCTGACTCAGTGTGTTCAGGGAGACGTTCTTCCTCACATTCAGACTGATGGAGCGCACCTGGAGACAGACACAGGCGGACGTTCATCACCATGTCAGAGACATACCAAAGGGTGCAACTTGTACAAGGCTCTGGCATTCACCAGACAGGCACGATGCGCACACTCTATTGAGTTGCATTTGGGGAAATGTAGGATTTTAGAGTTCTTAGCCTGTGCGGCTTCCATGTGGACGATGTTTGTCTCATGAGTCTCAGGTGCCGTGTATTTATTACGACAGCGGCGTTGTTTGCTGCGGCTGCTGGGTTTCACATTTCACCTGCTGATTAGTCCCTCGCTCTGATTGGTTTAGGTTTTGTCAAACACATCATGTGATGTTTTAGGGCTGTATTATCTAAAAGAAAAGATGGTAATCTTATGCATCAATGACAATATTACAAGAGTGCATGTGAAAATGTAACTTTAAAAATAGTTGCAGTGCAGGCACTTTGGTTTTGTTTATTTACTTTTAACTCAGATGGTGGTCATTTCTGTTCACAGGAAGCATTTTCTCAGCTGTCCCCTTTGTGAAGACATTTCCTGGTGTAAACAGCTGGGATACATTTATAATCTGGGTTAAAAAATCAGATCGGCCTTGCAGTTGTTGTGCCTCTGCTCAAAATACTGTCGCTTCATAACTTTATCCTATTAGACAGCTGTGTTGAATTGCTATATTTTTTGACCACCAAATTCTAATTATTTCAGTCTGTTATTCACAACAATGTATGTGTGTGTGTGTGTGTGTGTGTGTCAAGGGCGCGGCTCCCATCACCCAACACCAGGGCTCATCTACAAGCTGCCGTAGCAGCATCTCTTACCAGCTCCTTGAAGAAAGCAGCCTCTTTGGGCTGCTCCGAGTATCTCTCAAACTGGTCCAAACCATCCTGCAGTTTGAGCGTCAGTGTGTCGTAGTTGGACCGAACCACCTCCAACACCTGACAGAGTGGCAGACCGGGGAAACCGTAAATGAACATGTTGCATAAGTCTGAGGTTAAAGCATTGCACAGTGAACCTGAATAGTCACTGAACATTCAAATATGAATTAGTCGGTTTAATAGTTAGTTAGGAAAAGGAAAGCATGACCTGCAACTTTGATTTATTAAAATTGCTTACTTGTTGGTACAATTCCATTTCTACACAGTAGTGTGCTTCAGCAACCAGAAATATGTTGTTTCTTTAACTGTGTCTACTACAGTTTAACTTTGAATGAACACTGAAGGCACTTTTGCTTCAGGAAGGATTCACTTTGTAAATCAAGTAAAGACAGTCGAGCAAAAGCAGTCCTGCGAGTGCGTACCACGGTTATTAAGTGCACAGGACACACACATGCCTAAAGTAAAGTCCAGCTGAGATGAGGTGTAATTATGCAGAGACTCCCACCCATGTCATTCAGCCGTGAAATAGGCCCCAAGCACCTTTTTCATTATTTTATTAATGAACCGGCAACACTGCACACAGCATGAAACATTCACAATGAGAAGCTCCCAAAACACGCACTGCTTTTATCCAGATAAACATACAGGTGTTCGCCTGTACGTTTCCTCTCTCTCTCTCAGCCAATGATGGTTCTAGGTTTTGTTCTCCTCTACCGTTGTCGGATGGAGAGCATAGAAAAGACGAACGAGGGGCTGTGAGCTGTGATAGACCGGTCCGAAGGTAAATGGAGAATTAGAGGAGTGGTCAAGGGAGGACGTCTGCTTTTGCCACGTGCTGTTCTAGCGAAGGTGGGGCTGATAAGTGTTTCGCTGCTCGCGCTCGACTGCGCTCCTCTTGCATCGATAAGCAGATATGTTTGTGGGTATTTATCGTGAAGCGCCGGCAAAGAAGAAGCCTCGTGTGTGCTGAAGTGTGTGAGAGACAGACAGCAGAGCACAGCAGCAATCCATCTTCCGGTGTCACTGAGGAGAACGAAGACGCTGCAGGCGGATAAAGTGCAGGTGGTTCCTGCGTGTGTGCGTCAAACCATATTCTCTTAAAAAATATATACTTTGTTCAGCCCGAGGGAACATGTAACTTTTGTTCAATTGAAAGCGCTCAAAGTTGTTCACTCAATTCACTCCGGCCTTCTTCTTTTTTTTTTTTTTTTTTTTTATCCGACCTACATTCTACGATTAGTGAGACTATCAAAGTACAGTGCAGCCAAAAGGATTATTATTATTTCCTTGAAAAAGGGCTTTTTGGGTCTACATTGATGAGACAGACGGCAGAGGGGGGATGACTGAAAACGAGGCGAGTGAGCGGTTATACGCGGAGCCAAATGGACAGTATCTATTATTTATAAAAATCACACAAAAAAAACATTGCTGGCGTGACAGCAAAACGGACTTTACCAAACCAGCATACAAGTATTAAAACCCTTGAGTCCTTCAAATAACAGAAATCCTGATTAAGCTTCGCCCTATTCAACCACAGTCATAGTGAACATATGTCAAATAGGGTGTATGACAGGTAAGTAGCTCAGTATTAAAAATATGTAAATACGTCCATTACAGCTGTTCGTGGAGGCTCATCGGGGATTTGTATAATCTTTGTGGAGAGGAGCGCCGTGGAAAGGTCGTGTCAGATGGTTTCTCCCACTGAAGAACTCCGTCGTCATTTCTTCCCTCAAAGTCCTGTTCATTTGCTTGTGCTGCTCCGTGGTTTACTCACTCACAACCCACAGCTAAAAGGAGACTCTGCACCATTCAGCCAGCTACCACAGATGGGATGTGCTGTCATAAGGGCTGGGCAGTATGGCTCTTCAACGCAATACCAACTGGTTAATAAGAGAACCTTTCTGGTATCAAACGGGTCCGATCACATTCATTTTTTTGTCCATCCATTCATTCATCATCAACCGCTTATCCGGGGTCGGGTCGCGGGGGAAACAGCTCCAGCGGGGGAACCCAAACTTCCCTTTCCCGGGCCACATCTACCAGCTCTGACTGGGGGATCCCAAGGCGTTCCCAGGCCAGTGCAGAGATTTAATCTCTCCACCTAGTCCTGGGTCTCCCCCGGGGCCTCTTCCCAGCTGGCCGTGCCTGGAACACCTCCCTAGGGAGGCGCCCAGGGGGCATCCTCACCAGATGCCCAAACCACCTCAACTGGCTCCTTTCGACGCAAAGGAGCAGCGGCTCTACTCCGAGCTCCTCGCGAAGGGCTGAGCTTCTCACCCTATCCCTAAGGGAGACGCCAGCCACTCTCCTGAGGAAACCCATTTCGGCCACTTATACCTGAGACCTAGTTCTTTCGGTCATGACCCATCCTTCATGACCATAGGTGAGGGTAGGAACGAAGATTGACCGGTAGATCGAGAGCTTTGCCTTCCGGCTCAGCTCTCTTTTCGTCACACGACCAGGACGAAAACCGCGTTGTTCCTCTTCGATCCTCGACTTCGACTATCGGCCGAACCCTCCTTTCCAGCACCTTAGAGTAGACTTTACCCGGGAGGCTGAGTAGTGTGATACCCCTGTAATTGGCACACACTCTCTGGTCCCCTTTTTGAAGAGGGACACCACCACCCCGGCCTGCCACGCTTCAGGCACTGTCCCAGACTTCCACGCAATGTTGAAGAGGCGTGTCATCCAAAACAGCCCCCCAACACCCATTGCTTTCAGCATCTCCGGAAGGCTCATTAATCCCGAAGCTTTGACTACCTCAGTGACCTCCACCAGGCAAATTGATGATGATGATCCCTCCTCTGCCTCCAGCTCCGCCTCTACCAAAGGGCGTAGTGTTCCTTCCACCGCCCGATAACCTCCTCAGTTGCAGTCAACGGGGTCCCGTCCTTACTGTACAGCTTGGGTAGTTCCCCCCAGATGGTCTTCCCGAAGCACTTTACGGCTTCTGCTTCATTTTTTTGTAAGCTACATTTATTATTATTTCATTAGAATGAAATGTAGCCTAAAAAAACACTACTAATGCCAAAAGGAGACTGTTGTAAACTACCAAATGAGGAGAAATATGGTCCCTTTATGTAATGTGTGTGTTAATGTATATATAATAACAACTGGCCGCTCATACACAGCAAAGCAAACTCCTGCCTTCCCTCTTTGTTGTGAATTAATCTGGCAGATAAAAGCAGAGAGGTTATTGTGGACTATAATGACCAGATATATCACTCTGTTATCAGCTTGTAAAGAAATAAATAAAAAGGTTCTCCTCCAGCTGTTTTCGCTGAATTGACAGACGATAAAGTCTTAAGTGGAAGGCATAACGTTCGTATCAGTGAAGTTCAACCTCCTCACAGACTCCAGTCTTCACTCTGATGAGGGAATAACTCAGCGTTCACTTTCTTAATGACTCAATTCTTAATGTGTGTTTGCCAAACACCTGGCGTACATCTACAATGAGAAGAATTATCACTTGACGTGAAGGTAAAGTTTCCTTTAAATCTCCAGTAGATGCTGAATAATGGATTTGTTTCAGAGAATGCTGTAATATTATTATAAGAACTGACGGCAGCTCATGTGTGTGTGTGTGTGTGTGTGTGTGTGTGTGTGTGTGCGTGTCTCCATCCATCCTGTGCAGTGTGAAACACGTCCTATTTGTTCTGAACAGTCCCCTCACCTGCGTGAAATGTATGCAATGAATCAGCCACAACGGGGTTTTAAGCTCAGTGGTTTGAATGGTTCTAACAGCGGCTCCTCGTGGCTTCTGATCACAATGAGCCACGACTCAGTCATCCATCTCTGCCACATGGCTCAAACTACCGCCCCTCAATAGGCATTCTTTCAAAATAAAACCCCATCTCAGACGAAGGGTTTTCAATTGTGTACTAAAAATATGTCATTTTGAGGTGACAAGAGTGGCGTTTCAGGGGAGGATGTTGGTGTTTGTTCAGTCACATGGAACCTTTAGTCAGAGTGGAACAGGAAGAAGGAGTTATGGTCACCTGTTCTTCAGACAGCTGAGAGATGTGGTTCACAGCAGCGTACGACTCAATCTTGGGATCAAAATGGTTGACGATGGCCCTTAAAGACAAAAACACAAACGGTTCTGAGAACAACAGTGACATAAGAATCTGTGAGTAAGAAATAGAAGTAGAGTCTAAAATATTCTGCTGTGCCACATTAAGACCAAAGTGAACAAAAGCATGTGCTAAAAACAAACAATTGTGTAGTTACTTCTTGTGTAAGTGAGAAAAAAACCACATAATAATATTCAATAAGCGATGGTTTGCAGCTGGCAATTTGGACAAGATATCTGACCAGTGACGTTCTGAGTTAAAGACGCTGTTTAATATAAAAAAGGCTGTTTGATATTTAAGAAAAACGAACTTCATTCATAGCTATTCAACTCCATCTCGATGCCTCGTTCATATTGTCTGTGCACACTAAGGATTTTAGATGTAAATTCAGAGGCAATCTCTTCCAGCATTAGCATTATTTTCCATGAAATAACTTGCATTGTGAAACAAGTTTAAGTTGATGCAATAAGCACAGCTGTGAGATGAAGTGGCTTCTTTTGTACCGGCGTAGGAGGACGTCATTTATCAGATAAATGACGTGACAAAAACACACAGAATTCTCCGTCGTGGCAATCAGTTGTCCTTTCCTTGTGAGAAGCCAGCGTATGAAGGACTGAAGTGATGGGAGTAAAATCAAATCGGTCCCATAATTCGAGTTAATCTCAACACCGTCTCAGCGGGTTCTTTATTCCACTCCGATTCATTCATCTGTTCTTTCAAATATTACGCTTTCAATCTTCGTTCTCCCTGCATTCCCTCCAAACCCTCGTGATCCTCCGGGAGTAACCCACTCATATTCCCCCTCAGGGGCCTCAAAGCCAGGGTGACCTCAGCAAATCAGCTCCTCAGAGAAGACGGAGAGATTGCGGGCTAAAAGGGTGGAGGAGAGAACAAGGAGAGCTTGTGTGGGGACTGGGGCGGGGTTGGGATGGAGGAGATTAAGGCTTGAGAAGTATTGAATAGACGGCCCTCAGAGAGGAAGTGTATGCAGGTCTTTCCTTCGAAAGACCTGCATTACATATCCAAAGACACTACTTCATTCCCTTTAATTTGACCTGTATTCATTATATTTCTGTGCAATCCAATGACTTTTTTTAAACAAGGTCCACCTACCGGCTCGTCTATTGGCTTTCTGCTCTCAATCGGCTTAAAGCCAAAATGTTCGCACACCAGAGCTGAAGAATGCGGCTTTGAAACCAGGTCCATTTGGACTTGTTTATCTTAAACACGGTGGGTTTCACGACTTCTCTTCACCTGTCGGTGTCTGCTCTGTTTGTGTGTGAGTGTGTGTGAAGACGCTGCATGAGCCCCGCAGACAAGACGACAGAGGCAGCGCGATCCACTAAAACGTTGGTGACAATTCATTTAGAAGTAACGGTACGTGCGATGTACCGTGTCAATATATTGACAGGTCTAGTTGCAAGTGTGTGTGTGTGTGTGTGTGTGAGAGCTCTTTTACCGAACATTGACAAGGGCATGCGTGACTTTGCTGGCTGCCTCCTTCCACTGGCCCGTGTTGGTCGACACTCTCAGAACTGTAAGGCAGAGAATGGCCGAGTGAGACGCACACATACAGCCACACTATAAAACATCCATCTCCACGGGACAAGAGACGAACGGCAGGAACATTTAAACATGTAACAATTTAAGCACCGATTTTATTTTTACCTGCAGACTTATCAAAACACAGCAATTCATTGGTGAATAAAAACGTTCTAGTATTACTGCATTAGTATTACTTAAGACGCTCTAAACAACAGCCTTTACATTAGAACGACCTGGAAGTCAGGTCCAACAGTAAGGTTTACACTAGCGTACCCATGCAGTAGAGGTTGTCAAAGACCTGGTGCATTCGTACGATCTCGTAGTACAGCTCGTCGTAGCTGTTGGAGGTGGGCAGGAACGTGTCCCCGTATGTTATAAACATGTTGAACAGGTTCACTACCTGGATCGGGACACAAACACAAAACCATTGATGCATTCACTCTCTGCGAAAGAAGAAAAACAAGTATACTTTGGGAAATCCAATCGATGCTGCGACCGTTTGGGCCCCACACAGCCGGTCTTTACTTACTACGCCTCTTCAAACAAACTATTAAAAAGAGTTTAAGTGATCTCACTCATGCTGCATGCACAGCTGGGCCACAAGCAGCGCCACGCGTACAACATCTGGCTCTCATAATACAAGATGACACACACATCCTCCTGCTGAACAAGGTCCTCTGAACCTCAACATGTGTGAGTGTGAGTGTCTCACCAGTAAAGCCAGGTGGAAGATGTTGTGCTTGGCCAGCAGTGTCGTCTCATTCGACAGCAGGAACTTCAGCAGGTTGATGAGAGCTGTGCAGAGGCAGATGTGCATGCATAAATTAAACAGTGTGGCGCGTGGACGGCGGTCTGGCACATGGTGGCTTTCCTCAGTGAGGCTCTTTAGTGAGGTTCATAATGGAAACTCAGGAGGGGGGAACCTTTTAACACTAAAATCATCTCTCTTCACAAACTTAGAGAGAGAAAAAAAAAACACTTAAGAAGAACCAAAATGTGAACTTTTAACAAGTTCCTAAATAAAACTGGAATTCAGATAATTCTTTCACTTAGTTGTTGTGCTATTATCACCGGCAGGAGAAAAAGGTCATTGTTACTCAGGGAATTAAGATGATTACGGGTCCGATTAGAGCAATCCGTATTTTAATGAGACACAGTACGATGGGCCCATTACAAGCTGAAATGTCCTATTGTGCGTTGACCGGGATGAAAACGAGGCCAACACGATGGATTGTGCTTTCTTTAGAGACTCATTATCCAATCTCAATGATGCAAAACATTCACAAAACAACAGGCCCGAGGACTTCAGAGGGGAATTGGCTTTGTTTTGCAAAAGCACTTAACTTTCCAACCAACTCTTCAGGTGATGCCCAGAAGATCCCAACGGTTTCAGATTTAAATTATACATATTGGGGCTTCTAAAATGTTCCAAACCTTCAATCGTAAACATGTTCTGTCTCCGAACCTCCAAAAAACAATTTATGTAACACACAAATCATCAGCAGAAGACTTCCTCTGAGAGGTACGGCTACAATTACCATATAAAGTATATGTAGATGTGCGCAGTACATGTGTGAGAATCAACATCAATCATAAAGCCAATGACACCGTAGAGTCGCCTAACAAAGTTGTAATAGATAAATCAAATGCTGTTATGACACCAGCTTGAAAAATATCCAGCCCAACGTCGGGTCTGAGAGTCTAAAGCCTTGCGAGCAACTCGGTAAGATTAACAGAATTGAAAAGAACTAGTGCAGAGTTCCGATTAACGATGTGAGATAATTCACAGTTGAAAGCACTTCTAAAGCTTAAATCACCACAAAACTCTCCTCAGCTCTCCTGCTTTAGACAATCATTGGGGAGGTACGAGGTGAAGTTCCCATGGTGCAAGAAACCATTATTAAAACATTATTTCACCCAAACAACGTTGAAATTACAAAAACTACCCGTCATGACAAACACCCGTATGAGCATGTCGCCATCGAGGCGATTATTAAAATGAATAGAGGTCACCCTGGAGGTGAATGTCCACACCAAATGTGGCGTGCTGGAGCTGCTGGTGGTGCCATAGAAAAAGTCAGGGTGTCCCCAAAGATGAGTTTCATTTAATGAATGAATGAATGAATGAAAGAAAGAGATAGATGTGGCGGAGGAGAGAAGAAAACAGCGTGTATCCAAAGGAGACGACCTGTTGGATGGTTTCTGTTTTCACAGAGAAGCTATGAGCAATTAGGCTTTATTTATCTCCCTCACCTCATCGCTCCCTCTTCTATGATTCATGTTCAACCACGTTCAGGAATTACGGTTTACTAATTGTCGATATAATGACAGTCCAACAGTCCACTTCCCGTCCTAATAAGAAAAAACGCTGTTTCTTTACCTGACCAGAGCTCTCTCCAGGTGTAGTGTAACCGGATTCTGCACTTCTTCTGGTAGCACAAGAGCTTGTGGATGATCTGAACGCAGCGCCTGCACAGGAAGACACACAGGACTTTGGTGACGCAGCAGGTGGGTGGACGAGACCAGAAACATGTTTGTGTGATGTTTGAGCGTCCTCACATATATAAATCCATGGGGAAATCCTTCATCATGTGAGTGACTATGAACTCCACCATCAGATCTAAACGGAAGGGTACAGACAAGAGTTTGGGTGGAGTAGAGAGATGTGTGAACAAGGTAAACAAGATCCACCTACTGAAATCAAATAGCAGTTAACGCTATGTTTAGAATAGTTTCGCCACCAGACGGCCTTTCTGACGGCAAACTGATGCCAATGTCCCAGGCTACCCTACCTCAAATATCACTAATAAGGCACAAACAACGAATAGCCTCATTTTAAGTAGTTCTTATCATTTAAATTGTGTCATTATTGCTTCTCTATTAAATAGCTAATCAGCATCTGGTTGGTAGCAGTTAACACATGAAAACAGAGGTTCAGAAGTGACAGCTAACGAACGAGCCTTCAGGATTTCAGGGCCTTTGAGTTACTTCCTCATACCTAAAACAGCACACACCAGCGGACGTGAAGGGATGTTCTTGTCCACTGCTTTTTTCCTGTGCCTCATGGGCTGAAAAAAGACATATGAATGCCAACATGTTTTAAAAAAGTGCATTTAAGGAACCAGATTACAACAGTCAGACGATTACTCAACACCGGGGAGGCGAGAAACCTGGTTTCACTATTCAGGGAAGAGGATAAGAGATTCTTGTACGGACATATACGGATATAAGCAGGTTTATAATATGATTGTAAGACCGGGAAAGTCACAGCTGAGACGGTGGGGGGGGGGGGGGTGACGAGAGAGATCATTACAGCTGCGTTCTGTTATTCTTAGTTTCCACCGCTGATTCACACCTACCGTCTGCTACCATTTAACAGAACAGAGGGAAACAGAAACTCACCATTCTGTGGAGATTGACTCTGAAGTTCATATTGTCGTCATGAAGAAAGGCGTCAGCGTACTGGTCCTATCACACACACACACACACACACACACAAAGTCAGAACTAAGACGATCCGCGGAGCGAGCGAATGTTGCAGCGGTGTGGCGGCTCTACCTCAGCGATGCAGGTAAGGATGATGAGGCACAGTCGGGCACTGTTGAGTCGATGCTCATCTGCAAACACACACACACACACGAGACGCAGGTAAAAAGAAAACAGAGGGGGCAACTCAGAACAGAGAGGTAGATGAACAAGTAAAAGAGTTGATGAAGAAGAGGACACGAAGGGGTCGGTTTACCTTTAGTATCCTGCATCACGATGGAGGCGTACTTGAGGAAGGTGATGAGAAGGTTGCTGGTCTGCAGGTTGGGATCTAGAGGCAGTTCTGGATTGTTCATCACTACACAGCAGATTAACAAATAAAAACATAAAATTACTGCAGATAAAAAGATTAAGCAATATTTTCTTATATGTAAGCATGAGTCTAACAGAAGGATTGAATCTTAAAGACAGGAGTTACAAAGAGCCGCCGTCCCCTTTTAGGCAGTCAGACCGGGTGCTCATCCAGGCAAATAACAACATCACAAAAAGTCTCATCATTGCAGCTACTGTGGCTTTCCGTGACGTAGACAAACATCTTTATCCATTTAAAAATCCCTGCTCTCTGAAATAATAATACAGCCGTTCACATGAATAAATAATGAGGCGGTCATTTCCATCTCCCCTCAGCCACGCTAACCCGCATTTGTTTCTTCATATCACGGCAGCATTAAAGATTTCACGCTGTCAAACATATCCTCACGGTGCACTGCTGACATGCGATGCAGACACGTGTTTAGACTGGCCAGAGGAGAAGGACTCGAAGTGCTGAAGCTCCCATGACATGGCTTAACGCACACAAAACAGTCATCTGAACTTGAAGCTGCAGGTTAATATTTCATACAGAAAATGGCTCTTAGCTTCGGAGGGAGAGCTAGAGATGGAAACATGTACCTTTTAGCGGTTACGGTGTGCGTGCCTAATTACCTGCCTTCGAATGTGCTACCAATAAGGTTCCCTGAGGTGACAGCCAGGCACTCGAGTCTAAAGAGATCATGCTCAGTGTGCAGGGTGGTGTAATAATCAGATTGTTGAGATCTAACAAACACACATTAGAAGTGCAATTTACTGTGTATAGGAACCTTAAAAATGTAGTGAATATTTGAACGGCTGCCGGAGATGTGGCAGCGAGTGTGCCTGTGTGCGTGTGTGTGTGTGTTGGGCCAAGACAGAAGCAGGGGAGAGTTGCCATGTTTGGAGAGTGTTTTAAAAATGTATGTAGAAATACTGCCGAGAAAAAATCACAGACATTCTTTTTTCTGCCCTTACTTGGTTTTTGACAGGATTCCTATTTTAGTCTAGTCCAAATCTGTTTCAAGGTGAGGATTTGGTATAAAACACAGAGCCAACCACACACAGGTGAAGGCTCACTCCACTTCACTGCAAGTGCTGCCGTCCTTTCAGGTGGAAAACACTATAGAAGAATATCGAAGCCAATATTTGAGGCCTTTCTGTGCTTCGTAATACATTTAAAAAATTGTTTTTCACAAACAAACTACTTCTGAGACCCTGAGATTCAGAAAATGTAATGAGTCTTTTTGAATGAATCAATAAACATGTGTAGGTAACACAAGTCTGATTGAGATCATAATTAATCACAACCAAACACGGTAGCATAAAGACTCGGGACCCAAACATCGTCGAAACCCATCGTTCTACTTTGGCAGGTGAAACAGGGCTCTGCAAACTGATATGAGGGAAGAAAAAGAGAAATACAACCGAAAAGACCTGACGGGCATCGCGAACACATCATCTCTGCTTCGATGTGTAACAGACTTACTGTCTAAGGAGGGCGGCGTTGTGCCAAGTGGTGTTGTAGGTGTGGTTGGAGTCGGGGTGGTGGGTGTGGTGGGGATGTCCATCTCAGGGTGGCTCTGTTGAGGGACCAAAAACACATTTGTGAAATATCACTGATAGTGAAAAGCTTCCGTCTGCCTTCTGTCCCATCACGTAGAGGAAAATGCAACAAATAAGCTGGAGAGAACGGTGGCGACGGGAAGAGACAAACAACAAGTGATTACATCTGATAGTAAAAAAACATCTCAGCCAATCACCGCTGCTAAATATGTACATGATTAAAAGTACTGTGAAAAGCAGGACAGTGGCTTAATGTACTCAAAGACACATTTTTTTCCAAAGCAACACCAAAAGAAAATAAATATTGAGAGTTATCGGAACACAACATATATTTTTTAAAGGGTTGTTATTGTATTCTCACCTGCGCTAATACAGTGATGAAGTTGCGGTTTAGGTGCACGGCCTCATAAAGCGCCAGCAGAATCGCCTCATTGGTCCTTAAGGAGCAAACAGAAAGTGGGAGGTCAGCTCATTCATTCATGAAGTGAAATCTACAAAATTTTACATAACGCTTTGGGATTTAATCCAGCGCAGGTCATGAAAACAAGTTGCGGGGCAGTCTGCTGTTTAAAGATTATTCACTATTACTTATTGCACGAACAGGTCCCCTTTTTCATTTCCTGTATCATTAAGTACTGCACAACCAGTAATGAATCATTTTCTAAATTTACATATGTAAAATGTTTATTTTGATAAATGAGTTGACATTAAAAACATGTCAAAGGTAATTAGCAGCATTCTTTAAAATTGTCACTCTCAATTTTAGGACCAAGACATGAATCAAACAGCAACTTTTGAGTGACAATGTTAACACAAAACAAACTATGAAGTCGAGCTTTCAGCCAATTAAATGTTGCTGTGCTGCAGCAGTTACAGCATTTTTAAGTGTTCTTTAAGAAAAGATTCACATTGAAATTTAAGAAGTTCAAAGGTCGAACGCGGCTCTCTGTAGTATATTTAAATGCTGAAACGCAAAAAAAGTGCCCAGATGTATACAACATTACCTGAAAAGTGAAAGGTTTTACCGATCAATCAAGATTTTTGTCAGATGCCCACAGAGATGCTTAATAGTGAAGATAACGCACTGCACACATGTCAGCTCAACGATCTCACACTACACCGATACAGCAAGTATCCTCATTGAACCTGTGATTTCAAACTGGGGACTTTTACAATGACAAAACAGAGGACCCAAAGACACTGCGGCAGTAATGTGTGACCGACGGGTCAGAATTTAACTACTTACTGTACAGAGAGTTTCTCATCAGCGTCGGCTATGAACATGCTTCCCACCTGTAGACAGAGGACCAACATCAAATCAATCAGCCAACACTGTTAAAGAAAACACAGTGCGCACTCTGAGCTGCTGATGAGAAATACCAAATCTAGTTCAGCTACACCTACTGTTACAATATGAAGTAGGAATTAGATCCTACCATGCTAGTGAAGGTGGAGAAGAAGCCTCCCTGGTTCTCCTCCTCTTTGTCTTTATACTGCCTTGATGGAGAACAGAAAGACAAAGATAGAAAGAAAGAAGTAGTAAAGTAGAGACGCGTAGGGCTAAACAAGATACTTGTGCACAGCCCTTGAAACCGAGCACCCATTCACCCAACATCGCCTCCTGCTCCCCCCAACGTGTTCTTTAAGGGACATCGGCTTCATACACACAAACAACGAACTGTATGGAGCCGTCATCCATCACTTTGATGCGTCCGTCTACGCACGCAGGCAGGACAGAACCTCCTTCACAAACAGCATTTTAATTTCCAAACCTTGCCTTATCCGAAAAACAGCAGCGACTGCCGAAGAAAACTGTCAGATATAAATAACAAAGTATAAAAGGAGTCTGTTTTTCTTCAGAATAGAAATAGAACATTGGTGGGAGACATCAAAGCAAACTGATGACACCAGCGGCCTCGGCACATCGAGGACTGCGTCATTAAAAACGTTTTTAGATCTCACCTGTTATACTCTGTCAGAGCTTGGTGGACGACCATCCCCATTCCCTGGGAGAGAAAAACACCCAGCGCATCAGTCACGCCTCTGATAAACTGCTTCACGTGGAGCGCCTCCACCGCTCCGGCTGTTTATTTAAACTAACACACCGAGTGACAGCGTACTTACATCTAAAGTTGGCTCGTCGTCCACAATGGAGAGCTTCACAATGTACGGATTCACTGACTGACAAACAAAAACAAATCGGTTTAATTAGACGCCGTTAAATATTTGACCCGAATATTGACGTTAAAGCCTTATTGACCATTGAGGTCAATTCTCTTTTCATTTTGTCCCCTGATTCGAGGAGCTCATGTGCGGACTCCAGGCGAGGTTCAGCGACACAAAGTTTTATTCTGGATTAAAGAAGAAACTCTAATCCAGCAGTAATTCTTCTCATCATTTAGCCGTTACTTAGAAATTAGCAATAGCCGGATAGGCAAATGGTGACTACGGGATAACGTACTCAATTCAAATGAATGTTTATGTCTGATCACATACGAAGAAGCCAGAAACAGTTGTCAGCTGTTTAAAGGCACTTAACGCTTCCACGAGTTTGTGACTTGATCAAGATTCAGTGTTTTGTTTGCATTGGGCAATATTTTTGGGGATTGTTTGATATTCAAATTACTGTCAGTTTTGATCAATTTGTTGCTGCATTTAAAAACGCTTAAATTGAAATTCTTAATTATCACCAGATTTGTTTTTTTTAACCAAGCTAAAGTGTTTTTTTTTACTTTAATAATAAATAACAATTTAGAAAACGTATAGCTGTGTATCCATTTGTTAATTTTCTTTTTACAAAGTTAGGAATAAGTCCAGCATGTTGAAGGATCACTTCCTCGCAGTGAGGCATCGAGTTCATTAATTAAACAGTGATCAATGTATCTGATCGGTACCTTACATGAAACCATCAGATCTTAAAATTCAGTTGCAGCACATTTTAGCCCCGTCATACAGATTAAACTTGTGAGGAGTTACTACTTGAGCAGCTGCTCACTTTGCTTACACATGAGGCTGCAACCAAAACGTCACTCCTCATCCTTTCATTCCCTCCCCTGCTGCTACTCTTATCCTACCAGGAAATAACTGAAGAGGGAAGTTAATTGAAAACCAAAGTCAGAGAGTACGATGGCTTTACCGTCATAAAAGTGTAGTAAAAGTGTCCCTTAGCTTAAGGTTTTTATGTTCAGCTGGTGCCAAATATCCTTGTTTGTGTTGTTCATTATCATCTTCTATGTTACGCTATATACTACTATGCTGGTGCTTTATTTCCTTTTAACATCAATGGAGTGCTGATGATGACTCCAGTACCACAGGCACAACCGAGAGAACTACGAAAATGAGTGAATCGCCAGGTGAAATGTCAGCGCCTATTAATATTTGAAAAATAAGGTTCCATATGAGTATTTCTACACACCTCATATTTCCTGTAGTTAACCAGCAGAGCCAGGAGCACCACAGCATCATACCCATGCTGCCCTCTGCTGGACACATCTGACAGGATCTAACGAAAGGCCAAGACGGAGAACAGAGTTGACCAAATCAGAAGAAAAACATTTCTAAAACAATAGAAATTCCCAAATTAGAGTATAGTCTCACCTGTAGAATGGCTTCAAAGATGCTGTTGATCATCACATATTCTAGTATAGTGTTCTGACTAATGTTGTCGGTCACCTGTTGACACATTTTTTCCACATATTTGTTCACGTTTAGGATGTTTTTTCAAAACAGCACAAGAAGCATTCCCCAATGCTGATCACAATATAATGAATCCTTCCGTATGTTCTGTCTCACCGTCACCAGGCACAGCAGCAGTTTGAGACAAAGACTCTTCAGACTCTCTGAGCCGCCTCCACACAGAAGGCTGTCCAGTCTCTCCATTAAGTCCTGCCGGAGTTACAAGACATGTAATGAACACCGATCATTCCCTTCACTCCTTTATTTCCCCTCGGAGTGTTTTTTGCCCCACGCACCTTCATCCTTTGCTCAGCCTTGTCAAAGCCCATGAGCATGTTGATGATGTCAAAGCCAGAAGCAGACTTGTTCTTCTGGTGAACCCCCCGGAAAAGTGCACAGAGCGTCTGAAGAGAGCCGGCGACACAGGTGTTATGTGTCACCGAAACACAACTATGCATCTTTTTGGCGATACGGTGGAGACATAGAAGTAAATCCATAAATCTGACAATCTGAGATTTACTGATGTGATTGTAATATGTGCAATGTAGCTGAAGAGGTAAAAGCCGGGACCTTTCCTTACCTGCAGGGCATTGACCACTTTGATCTGGTGTTCCTCTCCCAGAGCCTGAATGCAGTGGTGGAACAGAGAGTTGATGTTGTCCTGGATCCGCTGAACTTCTTCCCCATCTACACTCTCCAACTTGGACTCTAGATACTCAAGGTTAACCTGAAATACGGTGGCAGGACAGATAGGAAGTTTTTGGAAGTTATAGAGTTACCCTCCTATTATTTAATAACAGGAAACTGCATAAATATAATGATATAATCATGTCATTTTTTTCTAACAATTCCCGTTCTTCCCGTGTATGACAAGTTGCATAGATAAGTTGGCAGACTTTATTTTGAGGCATTACTTATATCATCCATATGTGTCAGTTAATTAACGGATACGATTTCCAATAGTTTGCACGAAAGATTAACTTTGTATTTTTCCCTTTCACTTTACCTTCATAAGAAACAGCTCATCCCAAAAGCGAGGGTTGTTTTTAGCCGGGTCTTCTTTCTAAATTAAGGAAACAGACAGGACATTGTTAAGATTTAAGATTCATTTGGTTTCTTTCATTTCTATCACTGGCCTTTTGCTGTTGTAATACTCACTGCAAAAATCTCATCATACATCAGCACCACTTTTTCTTTCAAGGGTTTCTTAGAGGATGACGTCCTCCGGAGCAGCCCCGCCTTCTTCTCCACCTGAGACATGACTAGTCTGACCAAACAGACTCAGTGAGCTCGATGAGGAGGTGCATCAATTATGTCAAAAAGAATTGCTGTAAACCACCAAGATAGTATCTATTCTATGGATTGACCAGCATGTTATAGTAAATAAATCTAAAAGACAGAAACCAAATAGTGAAATCTCTCTCTCTCGCTCATATTTAACCATTACTAAGTAATTTCCTAAAACAGCTGGGTACTGCACTAGCAAATGCTACTCAAACAAGAGAAAAATACATAAACTAGCACAACAACGGGGCTCATGTGGTATAAACACATGATTAGGACAATGCTGGTTACTGGGATCAATTGATCGATGCTTACTTATGATCAGTCTATGACCACAACCGCGGTCTGCTGCGTCCCGTGTGACGTCACAGACATACCAGCTATGGCTGCCTTTGAGTCTCTTTACTTCAAAGCGTTAACGCTGATGGGACAAGTCCCCAGAAGCCCAACGCTCCCGTTCATGACTGTCTTACTTTTATAGAGAGACAGAGAAGCACTGTACTTGGAAACTGTTACAGTGAGGTTAGCTACAAATATTTAAGTGTACTGGAAAATGCCAAAGATTTCAGTAGTAGGGACATGCCCGGTAACGTTACTTCGTTGTTAAGCAACGATGTAATATCGCTAACGTGAGCTAATGATTAGGTTAATGTTAAGTAACGTCTAAACAATACGCGAGGATCAAGCATTTGAGTTTTAGATTACCGAAGACATGTCATCACACATTTGGTACAACTTAATTAAAGTCACACGCTAACTAAGTTTGTTAACCCGAGTGCAAGTTTGGGATGGTTTGCTAGCTCGTTAGCTGACATTAGCCGACCTAACTGACCCATCGTTTGCTAACTGGGTTCGACCAATCAATGACTAAAAGTGACGTAGTTTTGATAATAAGCAGGTTTTGATGTCCAGTCAACACTTCGTTGATTAGCCAGCAAGGTCATTTGTGTTAATACATTAACTTTATATGGTCATGCTTCACAGATAAAGCTAACGCTACCTCTAGCTAGCTAAATGTATACATGACAGACAAGGAGTGTTACAACGATTTAGCTTCAGCTATTCAATGACAGGGCACGATTATTGACAACAATACATTATTTCATTATTTAGATATGTACAGCTTAGTCAGTGGTGTGGTTCGTTCTTACCTCAATGAAGGTATTGAAATTAAAAAGCTAGCTCATGAATCCTTGTGACAACACTAGCATAGTGCTATGCTATCGTTAGCCTCTTCCTGCTGCTCTTCAGGGTCTTAGCGCCCCACAAGTAACGTCCTTCGAGGTTTAACAGCGGGTTTGACCCGCTATTTGATAAAGTAAAGAAACATATTTAAAGATTAATAAGTGAACATTTGTATTCTCTAATTCTGTAATGTCATCATTCACACCACACAGTCCTGGAGAAGTTAGTTGATTAATAAATAAAAATAAAAAACGTTATAATTGCTCAACCATTGACAAGAAACTAAAAATAACCTTACTTTTTAACAAATACTGCACATTATTTAATTCATCAAAATTATTGCTGTTTATTTTAAATCGGGCAGAAACAGTTACACACACATGCATGTTTGAATGAGCTGCGTAAATGACTAGAAAAAAAATATTCATATTTGAATATGAATTTCAGAGTTAGTATAAGGCTCTACATTTGAACATCTCTCATACTGTAAGTATTATGATTTCTACTCTGCAATCATTTTGAAGTCTGAATTGAGCAGATGACTTTGAGCTCAAAAATAAAATGTGTAATACGACATTTAGAAGTCAGGCGTGATGCTGGTAGAGATTAGTTACTCATGGACAGAATCAGCAGAGCAGAACTGTCGAGACGTAATTTACAGATGGATTGTTTCCATTGACGTTGACAAAGGACTGAGGGACCTTTGCCTCAGTGATCTACGGTCACTGGTTGCTAATTTGAAGCACGTGGAGCCAGAAGACAGCCGAGATTTCAGTTTGAGCTGCTGCTCTCCTTACATATGCACCAACAATCACTGATAAATGGAAATGGCCGCTCAAACATATTTGAACTAACTATGGTATATTATTGGTTTTAATGATGTTGCTCGTTATCTCTTTTGCATGATTGCTTCCTGAACAACCATACGATAAAAATGAAACGTGAAAAATAACTGCTTTTGAACTACCACAGATTTTTGTGGAAAGAAAGAGTCAATCCCTCTCTGATAGACCTGTTCCTCTGGACCGAGATAATACATTGCAAAATAGTTTTGTCCCCAATTTAAAGCAACAGTTGAGTTCTTTGGTAGATTAACTTCATCATCAAGAGTGCTATCTTTCTGGTAAAGACTACATGGAGCTCCTCAATTAAGACTACATGGAGCTCCTCAATTTCCGGATTAAATGAGACGAACTCTGTTTTACCGCGTCATTAGACAGAGGAGGCAAGAGAGAGAGAGAGAGACAACGAAATGGAAATCACATTATAATGAGCAGTAGTGGAGAAGAACATCATCTGAGGTGTGAAAGAAAACCCACAAAGAAAGTTACATGTTACAGTGTGAATACAAATATGCAGAACACATTCAACGGGAAAGTAGAACCTCTCTGTAGCTTGAAAGTTTTTTTGTAGAAGCTCGGGACAGATTGCAGACTCCTGTGAAATGTTGTGAAACAGTGAGTTTAACCGGCTCCAGATAAGCAGAAATTGATGGATGGATTGTGACCAACGTCAAACATCTCCGCAAAGATGCAACGGTTCATTGCTCGGTATGAATAATCCTAATCCAGTTTGTCCTGATGGATTTGTACAGTGGCATGCTTCATCATGTTTGTGTGCACTAGATCTGAAGAATCCCTGTTGTCTTCAACGGTCGTACAACACGCAGGAAATTAATCTTGAGCTTTGGATAGAATTCACCTAAAACCCTCAGTTTATTGTAGTTGAATGTGGTGATCTTAAGAAAGCACATTGTGAGGGAGTAAATTATGTCTCACATGGCAATACGGGCTATTAGAAGTATTATCAGGTGAGAGTTGTCGTAAAGACAGGGCATTCTCCCCGATGTGCACCAGAGTGATTTGAGTGTATCAATAAATTCATAAAAACTAAACCCTTCTCCAACAACAAAATTACTTTAGTTCCCCAAAATGTTTTTGTTTGCTCGAGTGGCATCTCTTAGAAAATACTCGCATAATTTTTGCAAGTAAGTATTTTCTTCTAAATTTCTGTTCCTATTACTAGTTTTGTAATAGTTCTCAGCTTTTATTGAAATCTGCATTACGTTGAGGCAAAGCGTAAACAATTTCATGTTGACAAGATGACAAACAGTTATAGTAACAACACAGACTGCCATCATGCGTAAGCTCAAGGCCTCGGCTCAACCGACGAGTGGGCATCTTCAAGTGAAGGCGGAAGAAAACGTACTGAACAAGAAGTGACCCCGGAATAGAAAGAGTGAAGACAACATTTATTCATTTTGAATCCGTTGAAAGAAACTCGTCCCGGATCCATGAAATACATTCCAGAAAATAATTTACCTCTTAGCTTCGCAAATATTACGCGGTCACAAAAGGAGAGCTTCACAGTGTCAGGTGGCTGCAGAGCCAGAGCGACGACCGTCGAGTTGCTACAGCTTCACCTGAACCCCAAACTCAGCAGACCCTCAGTGTTTCAGCACGGAGGTCTCCCTGCAGGTTCATTGTGACACGGGGAAAGGAATAAATGCCTGAGGAGAAAGTGGGACAGTTGGCAGGTGGACGTATGCGTGAGACAGGCCGATGTGGAGGGCTTTGACACAGAAACCGCTTTTGCTGCTCATTCTGACATCTGTAAGTCAGAGTAGACATGCACACACACACACCTCAAATACCTCGAGTGAATAACTTCTGACAGGTTAAAGAAGACATTTGCCGTTATTGATTTACACTCCGACTAACCCAATTGACCACAGCTTGTGAACCGTCCTGAAAGCAGAGACAGGAGGTCCTCCCTATTCCCCGGCTCACACCCTGCTGCACCACATCACAGAGCTGCTGTTTGCACTCTGGAGCTGCACCACCCGTGACTTTTTCTATTTTACCTAAAAATGTAGAAAGCAAATGGAGCAGCATTGTGATATTATGTGAAAATCCAATCTCTTCCTCAGTCGAGGCCTCGGAGCATTTTTCTGCCTTCTGGTCCTCTGGGGCTCTTCCATCCTGCTGAATGTCTTCTTTGGAGCGGTCCATTCGAGGACTGACGAGGAGCGGGATCAACCAGTGAAAGCAAATAACCGTTCTGTAAAGATCACATACCAGCAGGCTTCTGTGCATTATGGAGGTGCAAAAAAACCCAGCTCAAACTTCACTGATGGTTACAACCGACTGAATGGAGAGGAAGTGGAAAAGGGAGGAAGCCCATTTCTTTTCTCCCGTAGGTCTTCCTCTCCCATTCCTGTCAACAAGTTAGTTAACTTATCACAAAGCAGAACTACTCAGCAATAACTAAACCCCAAAGTTAAGCAGAAAATCCAGAAACAGACAGTCGTGTTGCAATAATTACACATTTAAACATGTTTTAAAGTGAAAATGTATCTTTTATTGGTACCATACATTAATTATCAAGGGCAGAAACTAACCAAATCAAAAAATATATATCAAACAATGATTTTCTACAGGGATTGAAAAAGGTACAAGTCACCATTCAAACTCATAACTATTGCTGTGATCAACTGTAAGGAAATGGAAATGTACAAAACAAACAATGCTTCAGCTGTTTTATCAGACTTCACAGACGCCATAGCTTCCCAATATGAAGACTGAACTTAATGATAAGCTGGCTTTAGAAGATGTTTGGATGTTTGATGCTATCATTCTGTTGGGTATGAAAGACATGAAAAATAATCAGTTTCAGCAGAGAATGAAATATGAAATTCATCTGTTAGCTTAAATCCAGTGAGCACATTCACTTGACATCCAGTTGAAGGTTGCAGTACACAAAATCGTGAAATTAAGTGAAAAATCACTTCCTGTATAGATGAAATACACGTGTGAATTTCTAGGATTTCAAAAATAAATACAAAAAAACAACAGGAAAATGATCTGTCAATGGTGCCATTGTACCTCTGGAGGTTTTGTAATTTAAATTTACAGAAGTTATAAAAAAGGAGAGAGGCGGAAAGAGCAGGTGGGAAGACGGGGCGGGGGGGGGTCATGAGTGTTTTTTCTCCTTTTTCCTATTTTTGTTTCTTTACATTAGATCGGGATGGCTTTAGGTAAATCTAAGTAAGAATACATTTTATTACAGTCAGACAGAACTTTGCTACTACCTTAAATATACAAGCACAAATACACAAAAATTTAAATCTCCAAAAAAGGAACAAAAAGACAAAATAAAAACATCCACACTAAATTATTTCTCTTTTATAAACATAAAAGATAAAAACCATATATTTTAGAGGGGGGCGGGATAAAAGTCCTGTGTTGCTCCTTGGTCTGTAGCTTTTCAGTATTGGTAGAAAATAAAAAAGTAACAATTGAAATGAAGGCGTTTAATACAAATTAAAAAACATTCTAGGGAAATATATACTGTATAAAAACTCTTAAAATGTGTAATTGTGTGTGTCCGGTGTAAATGCTCCCTGTTTGAAAGACTGCATTCATTGTAGTCTCAGAGATGGCTCTGGCACCAGGGGACTCAAAATCCTTCAATCATTCTGCGGATTTGTGTGTTGATGTTTGGATGTGTTTTAATGTTTTGGTGTGTGTGTGTGTGTGTGTGTATATGTTTCCCCAGTGCCACACTTCAGCTCTCCCACCAGTGTGTGAATTTCAATAGTTTTATACAGGGGCTCTAAATTCGGTCTGTCTGCTTCAGCGCAGCCACAGATAAATCAGTCCGCTTCTCTGTCGTTCCTCACACGCACGCACACAAACCTTACGAGTGACCAGTGCCTCGACAGAGGAGACCAGAATTGAGAGCCATGTTTCGAGGGTGGGTGGACAAGTGGTCCCTAAGCAACTCGCCACCATCTCGAAGCCTCTGACGCCACCTTCCCTTCCCCTCCCCCTTCGCCGCCCCCCCCCACCACACGTGTATTTCAGTATGGATGGTTTAGTGTGCACACTTTTCCCCCTGGGTTAAATCCCTGCGCCTCCTCGGTCACATCTGGCCGATCGCCGTCCAAACTGAAAATCTGCAAGAGCAGATGGGACATTTTGAGTGCGAGATGAGGAGCAGGGAGACAGAGGTGGCATGCAGCGCCTTAACATGGGGAAGTCACAGCAAACGTCTCAGTGTCGTCATCTGAGACATGCGGAAATCCTGCATGCCGCCTGTATGTGTGTGTGCGTGCGTGCGTGCATAATGAGATGGACTGCTGCGGTTACACTGGTGGCGGGCGAGTCAGGGTGGGGTCTGAGGAGTGGCAGAGATGGGGGTTTGTGTTAAGTTGTGGGGCTCTGGGCTCTACTGCGATGCCTGTGAGGTGGGGTTGTCGCTCTTGCTCTCCTGGCTGGAGGGGGCCTTGTTGTTCCAGGGCGAGTTGGAGCCGAGCGCCGGGGAGTTGTTGAAGCTGTCCTCATCATCGATGCCATTGGCCGCGTCGAACTGCGTGTTCTCCAGCCGCGTGATCAGACGCTCGTCCTCATCACCGAACTCCCCTCCCATCAGTGTGGGCTCTCCAACCACCATCACATCCTGCAGAGGTAAAAAAAAAAAAAAAAGTACAGCAACGGTCAATCGAGATATAATTTTACTGGGGACCGGAGGAACGTAACAGGTGTTACAGTAAAATGTTGTGCAGCCAATATGCAGTAGTTGATGCCATGTAACTATATTTCACCGGCACTTTAAGTCAAGTTTTCCATTTATAATGTGCTTTGTCTGTATTATTTTGTTTAGACAAAATCCGTCTTGATCCCACCTGTCACCTGTTGTTAGGTATAAATCAGGTAATGTCAACTAACTGCACAAACAAAAGTGATGAGTCATTCATAACTACTGAGTAATGAATCGGTTTCGTACATAAAAAAGCCTTGTGGGGAACACTTCTGAGGAGTGCCTTTGTGTTTCCTTCTTTGGTTGGCAGTGACATGTGAACTGCAGTAGTCAAACTGGTTCTGTTAAAAGGTGCAATCGCAGGGAGCTGGCACAAGAAAGAGACGAAACACTTACCGGTACTTGGCTGGACAGAGGGAAGCCACTGCCTGGGCTCTTCTTTTTGTTGTTGTTGTTGTTGTTTGTTCCTCCTCCTCCGCTGATGGTGCTGCCACCTGACATCTTACGCTTCCGCCTTTTGTTTGGAGCCTGTCTTGATGGCTCGGCTACAGGGAAGGAACGCGGGGAGAGTTACAGATATACTCCAAGTAATGCGGGCGTGCGTGTTCACCTCTTATCTGTGCATGTTGTTCCGTTACCTGGAGGTGCCACCATCCTCTGCCATTTCTGGAAGAGGCAGGTCTTGAGGCAGTCTCTGGGGCTGAGGCTGTACGTCTTGTGTCTGGACATCAGCTCCTGCATGGGCTCTAGAATCACACACAGCTGGAAGAGGGAACGAAACGGGTTAAAAGATTACACGCCATGTTCACCATCAGAAACAGTCCCGAAGAGGGGAAACGCCGCCATTATCAGCTGACGTAAACAAACTACTACTTCACAAAACAATGGAAGCAAACAAAAGACACTTAAGTCAAGTGAGCCCAACGCCTCTCTGACCTTTGCCAACCTGAGGCCGTGACCTCTGTAACCTCTGGAACAATGAAGCTGCGGTTACAGTCAGACTTCAGCAGCCATCTCTTGTTTGTTAGTGGAACACGAGATTCCCCTAAACCCTGATCAGCATTATTATTATTATGTGCACATCCGACTCAACAATTAAAGCAGACCTGTGATTGACAGTGTTCAAAGTTCAAATGTTGGCAGCTTTCTTTTATCTAGTGTTTCTCCTACTCTAATATTACCCTCCGCTCCCCTAGAACAGTGTGGTATTTTTTTTGCACAGGCGGTTCTGCCCTGACACGTGCATGCATATGTCCGTGTGTGCGCACACGGCGCTCACAGCGCCCTGCTCTCCCGTCGGCCGCTCCAAATAAAATCAGACTAAATTGGATTAACGACAAATGAAGCTTTATTCCAAAGACATTTGTATTGACTTCTTATGTAATCTACTTCGCGCTTGGTGTGAAGATGGCATAATGGTCACATGTGTGTTAGCTTGAAATGTTGATGTCACGAACAGCTATAAATGGATGACCACAATCAAAACAACAATTAAAATGAAAGAAAATTAATGTAAAAATAAAAATGTTGAGTGTGTGCATGCGCTTCACTTACTCGGAGGTAGTTTAGGGTGGAGTTTGACAGGCCACATCTTGTTATGTTTTTGGACAGCTGGTCCAGCATCTGTGGGTCCTGGGCCTGAGGATGCGATAAGGGACCGATTGGATCAACAAATTAACAAATATATAAATCCATCTTTTTTTCCTATGCATGTACTTACATGCATGGCGAGTATACTGCGGGGGATGAGTTCACGGTGTTGTCTGATGCTGAAGTGCCACGTTTTTATCCTCATCATGTCGTCAAACATGAATTCCAGGTACAAGCGCCCTTCTACACACACCTATGGCAGTCCAGAGGGGTCAGGTCAATACACAGGTATTGATTCACAACTTCAAGTGTAGGGTTAGCATTCAGAGTGCACAATACCGAATAAACGAAAAGCTTCCAATCTATCAAGTGGCTTGCATGTGCCTTGTAAGGAGGTGTAGACATTTTATTCCATGCAGCAACACCAGTAAACTGGCTTTCACAACTAATTGTGTGAAATTGTGTGCATTGCTGCCGTTTAGAAATCCCAAGTTAAAAAGTCTATTTCTGGTGTACGCAAGACGTAAACATACCTGTGTGAACATGGGCTTTCCATTCTGGGTGACCATGGTGCACTGATCACAGTCAAGGGAGACAAAGTTATTGTGGAAGGACTCCTTGGGATGTTTCAGCACATAGTAGAGCTCAGTAGCACCGCCTTCGAATATACTCCGGAAGTACCTCGGAATCAATGTCCGGCCAATTGCTTCAGAGGAGGAGTGAAAAAGACAATGGGCATTAGACAGGAAGGAATGAGACGGAAGCAGTGTGTTCCCGTGACTGATTCTTACTGTAACGTTTGGGCCCGTCTTCCAGACAGAAAGTAATGGTCAACATGGCGTCATCTTCAAAAAACTCTGTAGTAAATGCGTCCCACCACAGGTTATCACACTCCTACAGGATGTGGAGGGGAAACATAATCAGTGACAAACACATTTAAAGGACAGTTGTCGAGTGTGTACGTGGGTGCCTCCGAACCTCTGTCCAGTTCTGTAGTCGTTTGTTGAGTTCAAATATTCTGTAGTCTGTCTGGTTGCCATATGGTGTGTGCCTCCTGGTCAATCACAGACACAGGGACAAAAACAGGACACGGGTTGAGAACAGTTAGCTTGCAGTACAATGAAAGATTCAAGTTAGTTACAAGCAAATCGTCGTTATTGTCGCAAAATCGTTATTATAGCTATTTCCACGCCAGTTAAGAGATGTGGGAAACAATTCGTACTTACCCTATTCCGGGCTCCAGATATGTGGGAGGATACATCGGGGTAGGACTGAAGAATAGGGAGACAGAGTGTTGATTATCACATTCAATTATAGTGCTAATAGCAGCTGCTTTGCTCACTGCCACACAGGCTATTAAGTACAGCACACAATCCTGAAGAGGTGAACCCTCACTAAGCCAGACAGGTCAAGACAAACCTATTTTGGCCTTTAACATTCGCATTCCACATCTGGTGCACAACCATCATTATAACGTAGGCTAATACTACATCGACATATATGGCCAATGACAGTTTTTACCAAATGAGAGGAAATTATGAGTTCTTCTACACGAGTAATATGCAGTTCTACCAGCATGGGATGTTTACTGTATGCTGTACACTAAAATGACATTAAGCACCAGATCCTGGCGTGTGACGTTAAGCCATTAAAGTAGAGGACGAGTGTACAAACACTAGTTGGGCTGTATACATGGACTATAAAACCATCTCCACTACGTTCTGCTATCTGCTGATTGTCCCGGCTACCAACCGACAAGCTAATTCAGCTGTGGGTGTTTTTTTTCAGATTAACACATGGTTTAGAAAATTAAACTCCAGCCTATGTAAACATGGCATGTAAAAACACAAGCACCCACCAAAGATGTTCAAAGGATAGTACTGTAAACTCCTCTGACAGAACAGATGGACAAAAACCATAGAAAACAGACAAAAAAAACTCACCCCACGTCTCTGTCCAGCATAGTGCCGGGGTGGAAAGGGGGGAAAGTGCTACCGTTGGGGGGCTCCTTGGGGGAGTACAGCTTGAATGACTTGGAGGAACAGCCTGTAAGAGAGGTGAAGAAAGAATTAAAACAAACAGCATGTTTCATTTGTATTTAATTGGTTCACAATTAAGATAGTAAATTAGACAAAAACACAGATTGACATTTCAATCCTGGTACTATCTGCTGTATTTGCAAATCTATAAATTTAAGGCTTGACACTGTAAACCTCTCCACACCTTGTGTACGATAAATAGCCCTCAATAATAAGGTCTGAGAAGGGCCATAAATGATAGAATATGGTACCAGACGAAGTAGTTACATTACAGTGGTACTCCTTCTGATAGTTACTCACTTTTAAAGTGACACTTGCAAATAATGATCGTGTGAGGTTGAAAGCACATGCAGCCTGAACTGGCCAGCATGGCCCAGTTTCAGTTGGCTGCACACATTCACAGTTCATCGGCAGGAATACTCCAATCTTGTTTCATAAAGACACAAAACAAGCCTCTTGTAAACAATGTGCTCCTAAATACACTCTTGTATAGAAACTACTGGCCTCCATCTACCAAGTATAAAACGCCACAAACGGACTGACTAACACTCACTATTCACAATCAGCCAAAAAAACAAACAGACTCCTGAATCCCTCTCTCACAGTCCTATCCAACCCTTGTTCTACTCTAATTGCCCAGCTCTCATATAAAGGCCATCCAGGCGTGCCGCCCTCTAGGTCACGACCCCTGCCGTCACCATGGTGAAGCTCCGCCTCATTAATGTCTCTCCGTCTTGTCTCTGCATATTTAACGTATCTCTGACAGTGTGTGTATGTATGAAAGAGATATGTGGAGATACGGGCTGAGAGAGATGAGCTTCAATTGCACTAAAAGGATGTTTCCAGAGTAAATTGTGATTTGAGAGCACAGCAGAGATGTGAAAAACATTACTATTTTTAAGCTAAGACATTAATGAATAAAACCAGCATCTCCTAAGGGAGAAGGGGTTACACAACATCCACGTAATTTTGCTGAATTCGGTTGATGACTTTACGGTAACACATACATGAAAATAACCACACACAGACTCTATTGAGATGGACACCATGTCCACCACAACTAACCTTAGAGGACACAACAGACACCAAGAGTGATCAAGTTATCATTGTATGCAGGTTCTTACTGTAACTTGGCCACGTCATAGTTTTTAAACCCTATAGGTCAAAACCCACCTATGACGAGCATCGTCAAAACAAGATTTGCACCATCTACGTGGCTAAAACCTCCATCCATGTAAAATCCCTGGCTTCACTTTGAGCCAAAACAACTTGTTTACTGTGTGAGGCCGCACTGCCCCGCTATGGGCTGCATGCACCATCAGAGGAAAACAAATGGCTTTGATGAATAAATAAATAAATAATCGATGGTTATGTGTCCATTAGTTGTTGAGAGCTCCATTAGCTCCTCTCCCCTCCTGTTAGCGGTTAATGACAGGCGGTCACAATCACATCAGCTGGACTCCACTTCCTCCACCGGGAATCGTGCTCCTCTCTCCCCTACAAGCGGGCACAGTGCATCACACACACATTATACGTGTTTTTATCCGCCCGGCTCAAAGTGACGGTCAGCCCACCTCACAAGCAATCTCTGCTCAAAAGTTGACCAACACGGATGTTCACTCGACAAACACACTGATCTCCAAACACAAAAATCAGCGCAGCATTGTTCTGGTTTTGGGACTCCACCATGATTTCCAGAGGAAATATGGACCATAGCTCTGTTACACATCACTATTTACAAAAGCTACGTTAGCAGACTTTTCACAAAACCCAAAAATAATAAGATATCAGAATGCCCTTTTTGCCACATCCGTGCAACGGTCAGTTCGAAACTTATATTAGTCAAAGAACATCTGACGTGGAGTTGTCGGCTTACAAAGGCAATTAGAGGCAGCAAGCGCATAATGCTAACACTTAGCTATTAGCCAGGCTACAAAGATAAACCGATGCTATCAGGACGCGAGTATAACCCGCAACATGCACTTATTCCAACACACCGGGACAAATAAAAGGAGACCAACAACATCAACATGATCCAACATCCAGCCGTTGTCTGTGTACAACACTGCCTCGCAGGCCCGCAGGGTTAGCTGCGGTTAGCTAGCTACGGCTAGCTAGCCAGAAAAAACTGTTGGTACGCGTTAGCCGTCTTGCTAACGCCTTAGCGTTAAATCCCTTTCCAGCGATAAAGCCACCGAAATAAGACGAGAAACCGCAACCGCGCTCGCTCCCCAATCGCCACGAAGTCGCCACAGCGGCTGGACTTTGCAACCGAGGCGAGCGTGGGGGGGAAAGTGGCCGTTTACCTGAGAGAAGTGCAATCGGTAAATTGATGTTTACAGATCCGCGATGGTGGACCGTATCTACGCTCCGTGCGTAAAGACGGATAGGCCCGCTGGACGGCGGTTGGCCGGACGCGACGTACCAGCAACGATGCGTCCCTGCGAGCAGGATCAACGGAGAAAGAAAGATCCCAACAAAACCGCGAGACCGAAACGGAATAAAGTGTAAATTGCGGGAGTCGGTCGGCTATGTTTTGTCCCGCATGAGGCCTTGTTAGTGGGCTGGAGCCTGCTGTGGGTTTACATACGGACCCAGATGAGCCCTTTGTTCACGGGAGGACATGAACAATAGCTGTAGGCCCTCCTCCTCTCCCTCCGCAATGCATTTGCTCCTCTATCCTCTGCCCAGCACCGCCAGTCGCCCTCTCCCCCTTCTCCTCCCCCCTACTAATGCACAACTGCATATGAAGGTTGTCTGGTAAGCATTTTTTCCCCCTTCTTTTGCTTTCCTCCTCCCTGCATCCCGTCCCTTCCTTGTAACTGACACGGATGAGAATTGGCCCAATGCAGCCGACTGGAAGTGTTTGTGTGTGGGAAATAAACATCATGCTGACTGCATAGTGTTTTTGGTGTTTTCCCCATTTCGTGCAAATCCGCTTGCTGCAACAGAACTGAACTGAGGCAGCGACAAGCAAAGACCACTTGCTTGTCATGTGGACTATATGCAGAGTGACGCATACATACGATGCATCGGCCCAATAAGTCCAAAGTAGATTGAGATCTGAAAAATTCTATTTCATCTGTGGATAACATACTTATTTGCTATTAATGATGTCTTCATGTTTGCACACGGAACTGTCTCCGAGGTAGACCAGTAAACCCATTACCATATGCCTCTTCACACACACACACACACACACACACACACACACACACACACACACACACACACACACACACACACACACACACACACACACACTAAACCAAAAGGGAGAATCCCATAGGCCTCTAAATCTGCTTAAATCGCCTCAATTTACAATATCAGATATTCAGATCACAGCTAGCGAGGACTTGCCCATGTGGTTGGAACAAGTCATATTAGTTCAGTAGTTTTACAAATATTTATGCAAGTGTTTGTCATAATATTTGCTAATTTATTGCACATTATTTAAGAAATGGCTTCGACTCCTAAAACAGTTTTGACAGGGGCTCTCGTATCAAAGCCTAAAAAATATTTTCTTTCAAAGACAAAAGTACTTTCACCCGCCTCAATTATTTAGCGACGCTGCAGCCCAAACGCTCGAACGTGGTTGTGATTTATACACTGCCCATGTACGCAGCGAGTGAAAACACAATGTACCATCAATGATTTATTCACAAATTAAGCTGCTCTTGGGAGACGCGCTGTGGAAACATTTCCCGGGCTTTCACAGAAGCTGCTGCGCGTGTAACAACAGCACTGATGGGTAAAATGATTAGAAACCTGGTTGAATATTATTTTGGATCTGGTTGAAGCATTTAAGGCATAATTTAAAATGATACAACCCATAGAAAAGGCTGCATACATAAATGTACATGAAAGTCTTACTCAAATTAAGACGTTTTTATTCCTTTCCGATGGACCTCGCACAACTTTTACCACCAAATTGATGAAATTGAAAATGAACATAATAAATTCAAATGCTCATTTTAACCTCAATCATGTCCTTCCTATATCTGTCAGTCCAGTGATGTACTCTTAAGTACGGTCTAATCATGGGTCTAGTAATCAAACAGTTTTCTCCAGCCTCCATATCGGACACGTTGAAGCAGGCGTTATGGTGTTTTATTGTGGAGGTGTTTTTCACATTTGTTATACCAGAGAGTGTCACTTTATTCTGACCAATTCTGCAGATCTTTTCAAGTCTGGCTGTGCAATCTCGGAACGGAACTTCCCTGAGTTTTGCGAAAGAAGCCCACAGCTCAAAAGGCGGACCCCCTTCGCCGACTCTTCTCCTGGTCGAGACCCGAGTATGGTGCCGTGCCCAGAACCAACGGAGACTCGTGCTGCTGGAAGCCCGCCTCTCACACGCCCAGCAACAAAGACGCGTGAGGGCTTACAGTTTATGTATTCTGCTGGGACCATGTTAAGCTTGAAACAGGAGCACTTCACAGCTCGCGAGGCTCCTTTCATTTTTTTGGCAGCATGGGGGGGGGGGGGGGGGGTCGTCAGTAGTGGCTTAAGAGTGTCTGTTGCGGGTGACTTATGTGGATTTGCCTATCTTACGTTCGCGGGGCCCCTGTAGTCATGGCAACACAAGCAGTCACAACTGGAGCACAGCTAAGAACCATCCATGGAAATGGACACACAAGGGTTAATCCTGTGTGTGTCTGTGTGTGTGTGTCTAAAAAGCTTGCCCATTGAAATGGTACATGACGGGGTTAATCCCCACTGCATGTGTGGCAGGGTGATGGAGAAGAGGTGGGGGTGGGAGGTGTCAGGATAAGGCTTGAAGGGCTTACACACACCGTCTCCTTTGCTCTCAGGCATAGGGGAGGCCTTATCTTCAACCAGCAAGTCTCACACAACACACACACACACATCACCATCCAGCTCATTTTTCAACGTGCAGTAACACATTTACACCTAAAGCCATCAGCCATGCGGCGTGCAGGGGCTTAATATAAACTCCCTGTAGTGCCGCGTGTCGTGTTTTCACTAAGCGCACGCTTAAAACCTCAAATGCAACTTGTTTAATTCACCTTCGTCAAAGCAACGACCTCGGTTTAGTTTGGTTATTGCTGAATACGCTACGACAAAAGTCAACAGGAAAAAAAAAGGCCAGAAAGAGAGACTTACCTCCCTCAGTTACAAGCTGTTCTGACATCGCCATTTCGTCCCCCACAAATGCACTTTCACAGCTACATGCTGATCCAACTCAAAGGCTTGGTCTCTGTTTTCATGCCTCTCCCTCTCTCTGATATCTCCCATGTCCAGACTGTCAGGCTCAGGGGCACGAGGAGGGGGGGCGGATGCCTACAGTCAGTGTGTGTGTGCGCGCGAGTAGTGTGCACATTTGTGCGCGCGCTTATGCACGGGTCGCCTGTGTAAGTGCAAAAAGTGTGCGGCCTGCCACTTCCACTCGTGGTCAACAGGAAACTGAGCGCCACACGCATCTGCCGGAGTTCTGATAACAACCGTCACAGTCTCGCCCCCCCACCCGTCCCCCCCGTCATCGCCGCCTTCATCACTGATCTGGAGGCAGCCTGGTGTCACTGTGGGTGTAGCCACCGCCCTCACGGAACTGATCTGAGCTCAAAGATGAGATTTAACTGCTAATAAGTGGGACATCCGCCCCCCCCCCACCCCCACAAAGGAATGAAAACAAAACCACTCCTGTTTTTCACAGATTGCACACTGCATTTCTTTCCCCGAGTGTAATACAAAGGCTGCAAGTTCAAGGCATTTCACTACTTTTTTAGTATTTCACATCACCAGCACAGGAAGAGCCTTTGCCTTCATGTGGAAGCTAGTTAAATAACCAACGTATTGGATGGGATGGAGGGAGAGAGATCTCTCTGTACAATTCAGCTCTTCAAAAGCACAAGATCTGGATGAAACAATCTCGAGTCAGAATCATACCCACTCTCCTGCAGAGGTACAAGTACTACTCTACGCTTCCATTATACTTCTCCATTCTCCAGCATTGGAGCCGGAGACCGTAACAAAACTTAAACTGGTCAAGAAGGTCGGCCTCTTCATTAGATTAGAACGGGACAGTCTGGAAAAGGTGGTAGAGGGGAGGACCCTGAAGATATTACTATCCATTGTGGATAACCAGGACCACCGAGCACCTTTTCCTACAGACTCATCCAGTTAATTTCATTCAATATTATTCCATCTTCTTTGTTTATATTGTGGATTTCTTACTATTTCTTTACTTGCGTATATAAAGTCTGCTGCAGCAAAATCATTTCCCTTTGCAGTATTAATAAAGTCATTATTTACCCATTGATCTCTACTCTTTGATGAAGATGATGCACTGGTACAAGTTAATACTGCTGCTCACTCATAAATAAATAGAAGAGTTGGACCGTGACAATGTACTGTGGGACGATGCAATTTTACCGTCAGGGTCTTCACATAACAGAATAATCAAAGCTGCTATGCAAATGATGCATTGTATAAGTGAAAAACTGTATGCAAATGCGGCCATTGTCATTCTGCACAAAGGGACAATTCTCTGTTTGATTTGCAGTCTTCACTGAGCATCCGGACGAGGGGCAGGAAATTAGAACTGACCTACAATCAGAGGCCGTCCTGTGACGGCAGCGCCCTCTGGCGGCGTTTGTTTTCTCTCCTCTCGCTCGCCGAGTGAGTTCCCTGCTCTGGGTTTTCTCTGGCAGGCGAACAGACACACTGCAACTAGAGAAGTTCAGCAGCGAGCTCGTCACACGGCAGCGGAGGCCAAAAGGTGACGGGATGAAGAGGTGGAGAGAAAACGAGGCCCTGCTGCGTTTGTCATTCGTGTATCTGGGATTCATTAAAACACTTGTTAAGGATCTACATTATTAGCCATCAACCTCACCCCCTTCTCACTGGCAATATGCCAGTACTGTGTGTGTGTGTGGAGGGGGGGTTCAGAAGTGTGCGGCGGCTGGTTCCAGCTGACAGCTGTGTGAAGGGAGATGACAGTGCCCTGATGCCGAGTGCTCTGTTCTGTTCTCTGGGAGCCATTTTGTCTGTCTCTGATCTCAGAGTCAGGTCCCCCCCCCCCCTCCAGCCACACACACACACACACACACACACACACACACACACACACACACACCTCAGCCAATCATATCGCTGCTCAGCCTTGCAGAAAACACAGAAACTCTCTCTCTCTCTCTCTCTCTCTCTCTCTCTCTCTCTCTCCCTCCCTCCCTCCCTCCCTCCCCTCTCACTCTTAATCCTCATCTCTCCTCAGTAGCTGCTCACTCCCTCGTCACACCCTCCTCCTCCTTATCCTCCTCCTCTGGCTCCCTTGTTGTGCAACCCGTTTCTAAACAGCTCAACCTTTGTGCGTTTTTGTCTGTTGCCATTTCAGCCCGGCTGCAGTCTTTACTCATTTCCTCCAATCAGGGACACCATGTGACTCTCTGCATGAGAGGGCACAGTCCCTTCCCCCTTCTCTCCTCCCTCCCGCTCTCCGTCCCTCCTTACTCCCCCTCCCCTCCCCATCATCCAGCCAGCCAGCCAGCAGGGCAACATACGCTAGCAATCAGGCGAGTCAAAGAGAGTGAGGGAGTGAGGGGAGGGGGTGAGGAAGGATGAAGGTATATACAGTGAAACAGTGTGCAGGGAGTGACGCGTGTGTGTGTGTGTGTGTGTGTGTTG